TGTTCGTCTGAACAGGTTGGTTGTTGCATGCTCGGTTCCCAGCCGTCTCTGGGTTGACTGGTATGCTCATGTTTTACAGTGTGTAAACAGACACGCGGAGGAGATTGCCCACGCAAGTTGAATAGTAGTAATTCACATGTTTAAGAATGTGTTGTTTTCCACACATCAAGTTTAGGGCAACAGTGACGCACATGTTAGGAAGGAAAAAAAGAAAGGAAAAAAAAAACATTAAGAGTGTTACGTAAAACCCTTGTAATTCCAGCTTTGGGGATTTACAGTTTTCATATTCATTTCAGAGATTGTATGCGTCATTAGTATCTTGAGATAATTCAACCACCCTTGGTGCAGTGAGAGCTTTTCAAAGCCCTGTCTGTCATGCTGAAGACCATTTCCTTAGCTTACATCTTGGATATATAGAGAGGATTCTGCCTTACAGCATGATGCAGAAGAGGAAAAAAAAGACATGAGTGTGTACTATATAGCCCCTCCTGATACTGGATTTTTGAGGCTAATACAACTTTTGTATGTGTAATGACACATAGACTGTAAGTACATATTAAAAAAAAACACACACACAAATTAATCTGACAGTTGTGATGATTGCATATTTTTAATCAGTCAAACATATCTTTTGCATTCCTCTACTGCAGTTTCTTGATACAAATCGACCAGCATATGCACAGGTACTGATATAATTGCAGTTAACTAATATTGCGGATGATGCTTTTTGTGCACTCTGGCCCCTTATTTACAATCAGAGTACAAAAAATCTCCCAGTGTAAATCTATTTGTCTTAATTCTGAATCAGAAAATTGTCGTCAGGCCATCCTGCAACCTGCTGAGCCAGATTTGGCCCATGGGGCGTAAATTCAATATCACCAGTCTAGTTTGTTTTGGTTTGGTTTGCCAAATGTTGGAGACTTTGCCCATAGACATGTCTATCTTTTCTTGAATATAATTAAACTAGATGGCACTCGGTTTGTGGTGCTCAGAGCACAAAAAAAAAAAAAAAGATATATTTGAAAAACTCAACAGCAGTGTCTCTTTCTAGAAATCATGGTCCGGTTACTCGAGGTAATCCACAAACCTTGTTGTGAGCAGTTTCATGTAAGGACTGTTTTCTTTCTACCTGACTACACCTTCCTTTGCATCTTTTCGTGGACGAGAGGCGCATGCTAGCACCACAGAGCTAGCTTATGTGACAGTTCAGATGGACACCATTAATGTTTACATCTCACACTGTCATAAGCACAAGCCACTCTTCCATTAGTAGATGCACACTTTCCTTTGCACAGTGATGCGGTTGGCAGGTGTAGTTAGGTGCATAGTACACAGTATATTGCAGGATGGTGGGGCTTATCTTATTTTTAGATGTTATCCTTGGCTGGAAGAAGGAAAAAAAGAACATATCTTATTGATACCCAAGCAGCTTGTTTCCTCATCCTGGGCAGCTTTCCTCTGGATTCTGTCAAGGTCCACAATCAGGGCGTGACCGCTGATCGTCTTCCCTGAGAAACCTTGGTGGTCCAATCGTGGTGGTCAGATATTGATTACAGTGAGGGTTGTGTTCAAAGGAGCCTAAGCTCTTTTTTTCCTCTCACACACTTGTACACATGTAGGTACAGTACACACACATACACACACACACGCACACACAATACTAATCAGCATCATATGCACAGCCAGTAATACTGAAACTTGGAGTATGTGGCAGTTAGGGTTTACTGCTAAACCCTGCTGCTAATTCTGGAAGGCCATTCATTTGGCCGTAGTGATTTTTGTTCTTCTGTGCACCTTTTGCTGTATTTTATTACGTAATTTTATGAGTTGTTAATTTTACCACAATGTTAATATTTTCGTATTGGGTGTAACTTTTGCCCAAATTTATTATGACTACATTTTTTGGGGGGAAACAGCTTAGACAAGGGCTTTGTGTCAGAGTCAATCTCCTACCTCCCAGTCCTTCTACAAACACATTCAGCTGTCAGTCACTTCTTTGCGGTAGACGCCCAGTTTCCTGTGGCAGTGACCTGCAAATCACCACAGAGTTACATTCACTTCTTATGACACACAACGCGCACACACACATGCGCACACCCTCCAAACACCCACTTAATTACCCTGTGTGTCATTACGCAAATCCTTACTAAATGAGCTTGTTAAATGGGCTGTTGGCCTGTTTATTTCAGCGTTTGTTATTTCAATTCCAGACCGTGTGAAATACAAGCTGGAAAATGGAGGAAAACTGTGGGACAAAATTGTTCAGCTGCTGAAGTTACAGCTGAAGTTGCTCTGTGATAGCTGAGATTGTTGTTGTTGTCAGCGCCACCAGATCCCCATCTAGCCCCTGGCTGCAACTTTTCAAGCGTTCACTTTTTGATGAATACTTTTAGAAATATGTTTTCCTTGGTGGTTCCTTATCAAACAGCTCCTAAGGGCCTGTCTCTGAGAAAGAATATCTCTTTACAGTGCCCGTAGCTGAATATTGCACAACATGTTGTCGGGTAGGACTGAGGGGTGCATGCTTAACAAACAGGATTATATTAAATCAACACGATTATTAATCACGTGCCTGCATTTAGGGAAGAGTTTCTGTGCTGCGGAAGTGGTGGTGTCTTTTATTTGAGATGCACATTTGTGTGTGTTTACTGTTCAGCTTTGACTTCAGCCCTTGTTTGAAATGGCTTTGATATGTTAGAATTAGATTATTACATATTGAGTTAGTCATTTAATTTGCTTTGCTATTTATAATATAAAACCTGAATGCTCAGACAGCTGTCCAACAGTTCTGCTGTCTTCCACTGTTAGCCAGAAACTCCAGTTTTAATAGGCATTGTTTATGTAGGCTTGCTCATTGACACAGTTATTGAGCAAGTTTAATCGTCCACTTTACCCTTGCAATCTCTCTTTCCAGTTCTGTGGGATCTAAACACACTGAGTTTCCAGTCAGAAATCTTCTAACATGTGTCCAAGTGTTTGCACAAGTGTGATCTGGAAATAATTTTAATATCAGATGATTAATGAGCAAAGTGAGTAAGTAATAACATGTTCTTGTTGTGATTTCCAAGAAGTTGAACACAAAACAACAAAGGAAAATCCTCCCAGTTGTTGAACTTTACTACAGAATCCCATTCAGTGGGGATATTTGGGTCATATTTGGATCTGTTTACTTGGACACAAAATGCTTGGGAGCCCCTCTAACAGGCTGTCCCCACCCTGAGGGAGTCCATTATTGTTCCAAGTGCTAACTCATTTCTGGTATCTTGAAAATACTCTTTAACAGAGCCCACACTGATATTAATTGGACACAAGTGGACTCACAGCCCTTTTATTTTGAAGTCTAATGTGACCTTAATCAGCAGTGTGTGAGACCCGCTGCAGGTGTGTCCTCCCTGGAGTGAAACTGTCAGAAGAAGAGATTGCTGTGTCCTCCCTCAAATAGATGGCCGTGTGTGTGTGTGTCTGTGTGTCTGTGTGTGCGCTTCGGTGGGTGGAGTTGCCTCACCAGGAGAGCAAAGATGGCGCTGTCCCAAAAACACAGGAGGCTGCAGGGTGGGTTTAGAGGGGGTGTTTTGCTACAAATGGGAAAGGATCGTGAGAACAAGTGTTTCCAAGTGTGTGTGTGTGTGTCTGTGTGTGTGTGTTTATGTGTTTGTAACCATGCATCTTTCTTACACCAGCTAGTGTGTACATGTAAATAAGTCTGTTAGTTATGTGTGTCTGAGCACTTGAAAGGATGTATATTTAAAACACACTACTGTCTAAATGTTTGCATATGCGATATAAGCATATTGTATTTGTGTTGTGTGTGAGAGAGATAGAGAGAGTGCCTGGGACAATCAGGGTGGAGAGGAAACGGTGACACCCAGAGAGAGAGGGAAGGACTTTGGCTGCGGCCCTGTGAAGGATACAGAGGCACAGAAACAAAGAGAGAGAGAACCTGGGAACAGGAGAGGAGAGCTCAGCTCAGGTTGCATCCAACAAAGAGTTTGTCTGAGAGCAGAGGGGAGAGAGGCAGGACGACTGAGAAGATGGGGAGAGAGTGAAAGGGGGAGAAGAAGAGAAAGAAGGAATGATCGAGGAAAAGCAGGTGGAAGAAGGAAGATAAGGAAGGAAGCCACTCGAAGGAAGAAAAGGTGAAGAGTGAAAGTTGGAGTAATTTGAGAAAGGAGACGTAGGAAAGCCAGCCACAAAACCAGGTGGTGTCACGTTTCTGTCGAGCAGGTATCCTGATTTTCATGTTGTGTATTTCTGCTGTGTGTGTTTACTGTGTGTGTCTGCATGTTTGTATGCAGGGAAAGTTGTTGAGCCCTTCCTTTTCATATCAGTAAAATGAGACTTTGTTATCTCTAATACAGTACTTCTATATTTCTGTGTTTGCCTGACAGACAGACCTTGAAAGAGTTGTTCAGGTGTGTGTTTGAGCGTGGGTGTCAGAGAAAGAGAGAGACTTAATGTGCTGTAAATGAAGAGGATCTTGACCTTATCTCTAATTACCTGTCGGTGTATGTTCTTGTACTTCTATCTATGTGAGGACCCATTAAAACTTTACACCTTATGAGGACATGGACTATCAGGACAGTTTGTCTTTAGGTCTGCAAGTAGTTGTTTTTGTATACAGACTTGGTTTATAGAGTTCATAGAGTTAAGAGTAGGGAAGTCTCTGAGTTAATGAGAGCGGACATACTAGAAGCACTAAGTATTTAAGTGTGTTTTCATGTGTGCGTGCCATGCTTAGTGAGCCAGACTTTTTTTGTGTGTGTGTGTGTGTGTGTGTGTAATGCCAGTTGTTTGTCTGTAATAACAGTATGATTTTGAATGAATTGGAAAGAGTGTGTGTATGTGTTTGAGTTAAGACCTTGTGTAGTTAATGGACCTGACCTCACGTTGCCTTCTGTCTCTGCCAACAGCCTATTTATCCCGATGAAACTGTGTGTGTGTGTGTGTGTGTGTGTGTGTGTGTGTGTGTGTGTGTGTGTGTGTGTGTGTTGTGTGTGCAGGACAACCTCAGTGTGTTTCTGCGCGGCTGCGAGGAGTTGGGACTGAAAGGCTCCCAGCTGTTTGACCCTGGAGATCTGCAGGACACGTCAACACGCCCCACTGCCAAGTAAGTCTCAATGATTCAGTGTTACCTTACTGCTCAACAGGTGCAGGAAGCATTTTGGCCTTCATTGTAGCTCGGAAACTGACATCCATAGAAAGGTTTGGTCTCATTTTTAATCAAAGCATCTGCAGATCATTAACATAGATCATAACAGATATGTTTTGATTCAGTAAAGTGAGGCAAGATACAAGATTAAAAAATCCCTATCTTTGTTATCTTTACCAGTATCTTGACATTGAGAGAACAGGGAGGGACTACTGAGTGAGATTTAACTTCTCTTAGTTTGTGAGAAGAGACTCTGTGTTGAAGGTTTGCTTCCATATCTATGCTGGTTACACCTTGAAAATGTAACCTGTGTATTGTCCCCTTATAATTCCACAAGTGTCATGCATACATGCTGGACACACAGCCTTCCCTGCACTCACTGTTCCCCAACAACATGCCCTCAGACACACCTGATGGAGATCCACACTCTACTAAGTGCACATTTCTACTTACTATATTATTTTATAAGGCTGTCAGCTGAAAGTTGAATCATCAATCAGATACTCCTTAGTTAAACGTTCAGTATGTAATTTTCTGCCGCTAGGGGTCTCATACCAAAACAATAACAGAAGACGGAGTTGGATGACGTCAAACTGCTAGTTACTTAGCTTTACAGTTAGCGATGGCTTCTCCCTCTCTGCTGCTCTCTCTTGCTCAGTGCGTCGTATGTTTAGCTATTTCTCTGCCTCTTTTATAAATGCAGTTCATTTACCGGCATCAGCTCAGCATTATAGAAACCTATCGTTAAATGTTGTGGTTAGCCAGCCTCCGCTCCGCAGCGGAGGCCGCTGGCCGGAGCGCTGGTGCCCCGGCGGGCAGCAGTGCTTGCAATACACTGGTGGAAATGATTAATATTTTGATAACATCAGCCAGATGTTTGCTTACCTGTCTAGTAGAACACACGCGAGGTCGGCGTCGAATTGTAGTCCTAGATTTTCACGAAGCTCTCTCCATCTTGGAAAGGCCACACCAATATTTATCCTTGATTTAGGTCTCTTCTTATCCCAAATTCTTCTGGGATCGCTTGGTTGACCCGTACGTTTCTGTTTTACCGGCTTGCACCGGAAGGTGCAGCAACCGTCAATGCATTATCATGATCCATGACGAGTTAGCTTAGCCTAGCAACAGTAACGTTCATTCTCTGATGTCTCATCCGGTCTGCTTCTTCTTCTTCTCCTTCATTTAATGGCTGTGGTAGCTGGAGTTACGTCGCCATTGACATGCGACCTAATGACACGGTCCGTAACTTTCATATTTATCTGGGTTTGAAAAATTGTTGGAAACATTTCTGATAATCAAAGTACACAACTAAACAAAATATATAATATTGGTTTAGTCGTTTTTAGACATTTTTATGTGGAAAAACTACTTAATCGAGTTTTCGATTTGAGCAGTTGTCCTTTTTCTTTCTTTCTTTCTTTTTTTTTTTTTTTTTTTTTTTCAGTCAGTGTACTTCTGGGGGCATTTCGGTTCGCAGATGTAGCTGTAGAGTAAGCACTCCTCACTTTCAGGCTGCTGTCTGGTACAAGCTGCTGCAGACACAGACCCAGAACCAGAGGCAGCTGCCTGGAGGAAGAAAGGCTTTGCCCAAGCAGGCTCTGAGATAAAGTTATCTTCTGCCCTCTAAAGTGCTGAATTTTCAGCTCACGGTCTTGGCAAGAAAATGTTGTTGTACATTTCCGATCCGTCAGAAGCATAGTTGGCATACCTGAACTTGGAGGGCTAACTTGGTCTGTTTACTATGTTACGGAAATGTCCCTGTTACCTTGAACGTCCCTGAACATAAATATTAGAATGTATTTATATATAAAAGAAAATCTTTGAATACACCATTCTCTCTCTGCTGAGAACTCTATACAGAAAGCTGTTAAACTGTCTGACTGAATACTGTCAGTGAATTCACATCATCTGTAAAGCTCATAGGATCTACGATTTCAAGGCAATATTTTCATTTCTCATATTTTTGGATGGTTACTTAAAAAATGACTTTACTTGAAATGAATATTATCTTCAGACTTTTGCGCTCTGTGTCTGTGTTAGTATCTTGTTTCTTGCCTGCATTGCCTTTGAAGAGAGACCTGGACAAGGCAGCATTACAGAACAGTGTTATGACTACAAATACCAGGTGTTTTGTAGATGATCTAAAGTAGACTTTTATCTGGTTAAATAAAGGTTTGAGATCTTTGTGCTTTGGTGAACAAAATAGAAAGAGGGTGCTGTGTTTTTAAAGCAAAAGAATGTAAAGCTTTTTTAGTTTCTGTTACTAGTAGATGGTAGAATCCTCTTCAGTAGAGTAAAATAAATGAGGCACAGGTGGAGAGGACACAGCAAGTTTTGGGAAAATGCAGATTAATTTTGGTGTGCTGTGGTGGATAATATGTATAACAGTTGATTTAAAAGTAATATAAATGAGTCGTGGATGGCAGTAGCTGTTATGGAGCTTTAAGGACTTGGCCTGAAAGTTGAGGTTCAAAGTTCAGTCTTGACCTCAAAAACATTTGAAGAAACAGTCTCACTTCACGGTCTGTTTAGTAGCCGTTTTGAAGTTCATGTGCATATTTTAGACATTTTGAACTGAATACAAACTTGTCCTTTATTAAGTGGATGGACCGAGTTTTGATGATGATGAACACTTCAGTTGTGTGTCAAAGGATGGCTTGTCTGTTTCACTGATTGTGTGTCACTCTCCATCAGTCACCCTGTCTGTCATTCTCTGCATCACACAATGACCCAGTTCACTGCCAAGATAAATAACTAACTGGGAGTCAATGGAAGTTTTCAGAGCCTGTGTCAGTGAAGCAACAATACCATATCTGTTTGACACAACTGGTCTCTGTCCAAATACAACACTCACTCTCTGAACCATGACTCCTACTTTGTTGCTTGGTAACAAACACAAGTGCATGTAGTTGTTTTATATATATACTGCATGTGTTTGTGTGAATGTGTCAGTGTGTGTGTGGCATGTGCTGTCCTCATGTATCAACAAGGTTTCATTCACAGAAGGGTTTAGAAAAGTGCTGCTGGAGATGGTTGGAGAGAGCAGGGGCAGTGCTAATCTTAGCTGGTCTCAGGAGGAGCTGCTTGACTGGTTCTGTCGGGACAAGGAATTCTTTCAAAGCAGTGTTGTGTGTGTGTGTTTGTGTATGCATGTGTGTTTGTGTGTCTGTGTACACTATTGTTAAAGCAGCCTTTGTTTTCTCAGCATGAGTGCAACCGTCACCCTGTTGCATGCATTTAGCTCTAGTTTAAACAGGACTCTGGTGTCCCTTTCAGTAATGGTGCACTTATTCCTGCTTGTGCCTTATTTACGTTTCTTCAGTAATGATGTAATGTTTTTTTTACAAATATTTTTCCTCAAATATAGCTTAACATTGACTAGTAACACGCAGGAGACACCATAAATGCAACAGAAATGTGACATTTACATTTTACAAACTTGAATGTCACGAATGTTTGTGTTTGATAATATTTTCAAAATCAGAGGAACAATATGTGTGTGATGGCTAAAGGTTGTCAAGTTTGAATGAATTTTAAGTAAATTGTAGCATGTTGAAATAAACTTAAATGCAACTCGGGCTGGGTATCGGTTATAAAATGACCATGCCAGTACCCTTAAAGTGATCCCACTACCACTGGCATACTTAATTTGAGACCCATAATGTGAATGGAGTGGCGTATAGTATAGCCATATTTATGAATGTTTTGGTGGCATCTTGGCACACTGAGCTGTCAACCCCGTCAAATGTAGCGCGTTCAACTTCACCACATCACAGACTGTGAGGGTTGTAGCTGCTGCGGGAGTGTGAGCTCTGAGTTGGTGAGAGTCCGTCCACACACACACAGTGACATTTTGGTGTCGGTGTGAGTTTGTTGGAAATGCTTAATGGCTCAGTGTTGGATGTTCGCAGCTGTTGCTGTGTTAGTTCATGCTAACCAGGCAGACATTGAACTGACTGTTGGCTGGGGGGAGAGTAGCTTTGTAGACCGCAGCAGCAGAAAGTTTGCTGATCTGGCAGGGAGTAAGAGGGCTCTGGGATCAGACCCCCGACACAAAAAGAATCAAACACAGGTATTGTATGACTGGAGACGTTTCCCTACTACTTGGTACCGGGTTATTTAGGTTGATACCTTGGTATTGAGTACCAATACCCAGCCCTAAATGCAATTCATGTAGCCTTCTGTAAAATATACTGCAGTTCCACAAGATTTCATTCCCCATTCTTCTTAATTTGATAAAAAGCTGTGTAACTGGTAACTTGGCAGAATGCAGCTGTGAAGCAGCTATCGATGGCAGCTCCCACAGTTTATGATTTTTTTCCTGTCCCACTTTTTTGTAGCTTCTTGCTTCAGCACGAGTACATTTTGCCACGTAAAATCCTTTCTGACCATGTGTTGGTCATTTGTGGAGTCTCTGCTGCCTGACCTGAGCAGCAAGCTAAAGTTACAAAGCAGTTGTCTTTTTAGAAAGTCAGTTAGCAGATTGTGAAATATGGAATTTTTCCCTAGATCGAAGAGTAGTTTAAATTTAAATTTAAAGTGACAGCCCTGATATATGTAATTTAAAAAATACTTATTACAAATTGCTACTGCGAAAAGAATAAAACAGGAACCAAATCAATCAGTCTGATCTTAGATATAATGCATCGTCTTTTTCTGTGAAAGATGATCTTTATACTGAACAAATATTCATTCACTGTAGATATCATCATAAGCAATTTCTACAGTTAGCACAAACTGAAAAAGGAAACACTGGAGTCATTGTTTCAGAGGCCATGTGCTATTTCCACTTGTTATGTAACCCCCGTGTCGTACAGGATGCGATCATTTTGCAGCTTTTACCAATGACAGGAAGCCGTTTCGGTGCTTCACCCCTCTGAGTCTCCGGACAGGTGTTTACTCATCTAGGAAACAGCTCTAGACAGGGATCCGTGAAGACAGACAGGTTCTGATACACTATGAGCTCAGGCCTGAAATACCTCCTGTTCCTCTGCGTCTTAATGGAAACAGATCGATTTTCAAGATAAGTGACAGTGTGCCAGGCAGTCGAGGAGAGGAGAGGAGAGGAGAGGAGAGGAGAGGAGAGGAGAGGAGCTGTGTTTCCATTCGGCTGTCTGGCAAAGTTAAGACAAAGTTTTGAAATGCAGCAAAAAAATGAACTTTTCAAAATGAGAAGTGTTTTCCTCAGCTGGGTAGAAATAAATATGATGAAAATGCAAAACCACAAGTAAACACAAGCCCCTCGGGATTTCATTAATATTGATTAATATTGAGGTACAACTACTCTTTACTGTCAGCAAGTATTGGGAATTATTTCATACTGTCATCTAAAATAGTTTTTGTGGTAATATTTATGGGAATAACATTTAAACCACCCATCAAACAACATAAACACTTTTCTACAGCCAGATAAGAGTCTTTGTCATAGCAAATAAATCGGTTTCTGTTGTAATGCTTTGCACTTTTTCGCTGATGAAACTTTAGGTGATGTGATGTTTCCCCTTAGCTTTTCTGAATTTATAAATATTAAATTGAAAGTAGAATACTATAAAAAGGATGACAAAAATACACCATAAGTTCATCATTTATTTCTTCATAAAATCTGTCTACTCATTCTGTTAAAGTGCTGTCAAACAAGTAATGTATTTTGCAGACTTTTCATATAATTTCCGTAAAGATGTCATCCCTAATTTTGCTACTGATCTTAACCATTATACTGACACTCTATAGTACTTTTTTTAGTTTGTAAAAGGAGCAAATAAAAGCTGTATATTATCTCCGAAATAAATATGGTTTTAATACGGTAAAAAATTGTACATTGTACAACTTTGACATTTATGTTTCTGTGTGTTACTGATTATTCTTTGACGAAATCTTGTACACTGCCTCTGAGACAAGATAGACAGAAAAGAAAGGGGGAAAAATATGCCTCTAACTATGATCTAATACCTGCTGGAATCTGTTTTCAAGGTTTGCTTCTATGAGGTAACAGCAGAGAAAAGCAACCTGTCTGTGTTTATTTAGTCAGCTGACAGACAGAGAGGATGAGGAGGAGGAAGGAGGAGGGGGGAGATTTACAGATCATTCCCTCCAGCTACTCTCTCCTGTCTCTTCCCCTCCTGTTTTACCTCTGTCTCTCTCTCAGGTCACTGCTGTCATGGAAAAGCCACGCAACTGCAATTTGGGTGTCTCTGTTGTGTTGAGTGAGTTGGGCTTTGTGACCCTCAGGCCTTGGAAACTAGTTATAAACAGTCTCATAATTTACCGAGGATTCATTATTCAGAGATAAAACAAAATGCTCATTATTTTCTCTGTTCTTTAATTAAGGCTTTTATTTAGCAGATGTGGCTGTTGTCTGACATCAGCGTTGTGCTATCATGTAATGCAGTCTAAACCTCTTACCGTTCCTTCAAGTTTTGTTCTGTTTTCCATCTAAGATAATCCATTTCCCACACAATATCGTGCAGTACTTCATCCTTACAAGCTATTCTGTATCCAAGATTATCTGTTGTGTGTTTAGTTGGGTTGCTGGTAGATCAAGCTACAATGCAATATATAGGAAGGACCTGTTACACTGGAATTACCTACAGATAAGGGTGTTATGGTTAACGACAGGACCCGCTGCTCACAGTCAAGTTCATTGGTTGATTCAGCTCTGTCTGAGCTGTATCAGGTATACAGTGTACCCAGTATAAAAGTTAAACTATTTTCAATAAAAGTTTATTTAATTTAAAAATATGGGAACCTGTATTCCAGGTAAAGCAAACCCATACATGGCAGTGTGTTAACTATAGACAGTTGTTTGTCTTTATAAGGTGGTCTGCAGTGACGAAAAGTAGTTACAGTGGGCCCCAGTGCACGCTTTTAGGACAACCCCTAAGGCACACTACTTACTTGTTATGCGCCTTAACTAACTACCGTATAATGTTATCGTCACAGGATCAAATAGAGACTTGACATTGTATAACATGTTTGGTAAAAATACCCCAAAAAGTGAGGAATTATTTGTTTAATTGAATATTTTTATACCTTATTTATAGTTTATGTAGAGTAAGTATATAATGTAGATTTTATACCATACTTTGTTATAGATTGATACATGGCACCATTTTAATTAAATAAGTTTTTCTTTGAAGACAGGCATATTTCCAAGGTAGTTTAAGGGCCAACACTCTGTGGCCCCCCTCATCTCATGGGCCCCAGTGCAACTGCTCTGCCTGCACTGTTTATATTTACGCCCCTGGTGGTCTGTTATCATGTGTAGTGAACTAAGCATCCATATGAAGTTGCTAGATACCAGTAATGAGAGAAACATATTTAAACATCATATTTCCTGCTGACCAAATCCTGCAAAACGCTGCAGCCAGCCACCTCACAACCAGCACCAGAAAGAGAATTCATATCCCTCCCATCCTGGCGTCTCTCCATTGGCTCCTCTTCAAACCCATATCAATTTTGAGAATTTATTGATTGCCTGTAAGGCTGGTGTTGGGCTCGCACTTGGTTATATTGCAGAGCATTTAACTCAATAAGTCTGAGTACAGATGTAGAGCTTTTTTGGGCACAATCCAGGCCAAAGCCAGAGGATGACCAGGCTTCTACATCAGGGTGCTTTGACTTTGCCTTGAAGTCTTAAGAATGTTTTAAAAGACTTTTCTAGACTTTTCAACTTTCCTTGTGTTTTAGGGGATGTTGTGAGATTATAAGCATTTTTAAATGCAGTATTTTTTATTTCTGATTTTGTGAGTTGCTTTGTATTTAACTGTGAAGGAGTGAGTTATAATTTTATCTTGAAAGTGTCATGTGTGATATGTGATTTGTGACCTTTCCTCAGGCTATACAGATGCTTTGTGGTTAATGGCCACAGTTTCAGAAAGGAAGAGATGACGATGAGTTAAGACTAACACAGAAATCCAAGTCTTACTGTAAATGTAGTCATACCTCTTTGTGTCTGTGTTTTTTTCTGTTTCTCTGGTGCTGCTATGTCTCCTTCTCTTAGCCAAGAAGTATCTGTTTCCACAACACAAGTGTGTATTGGGGTCAGCTTTACAACTGCTTCATTCCACTTCCCATTTATAGCTTCAAGTGGTGATCCGCAAGATCCACAACTTTTCATTCTGGCAACATCTGTGGCGCTAACTCGCCACTGCTGCGGTGTTTCTGTGCTGCACCTCCCAGAGACCACTTGGCAGTCAAACCGTGTGGCCACCACTGTGACATCTGTCTCCTCTGACTTTCTGTTGAAGACAGAATTTTCTTTGTGAATGATGCATGCTGGTACAGAATGGTCGATCTAGAAAGGCACTATTTTAATCTTTAATATAGTTTTTATTTCAGGTAGCTGAAGCTGAACTGCAGCCAGTAAACATTACTGCTGGAAATATTAAATAGATACATCACCAAACAATAAACTGGATCCAGATATGCGGGTGCAGAGTGTTATTTCTCACTGCGTGGGCTGCACTCTCTGCAGATTCCTCTATACTGTATATTTAAAAAGTTTTGTTTTTGCTGCTGTTTTGCATGAATCTGTGGGAGTTTGATCAGCTTAAAAGCTGTCTGCTGTTATATTTATGTAAGATATCTCATTAAATAACACCAGAAGTCAATATCTCACTCTCTCTCCTTCTCATTCTCCCAGGGGAAGTGACTGCAGCCGAAAGCTCAAGAATGTAAGTGATACTTCTGGATAATTTGTTTGTGTGCTAAATAGTATGTCTGGATGTAAACTGTTATTATGGTCCAGTGTTTCTGTTTGTGCTGTGGCTGTCACACTCTTTCCTTTTGCTGCTCTTTTCATGTCTTCACCAGCTCTGCCAGCTCTGTTCATTCCACAGTCAGCTTTATGTGCTGTATTTTTCTACTAGAATATTAAGTATTTCTAGTCTGGCTTTATTGTTTGAAGCTATTCTGCTTTTAACATTTCTGGCTGTATTTCTTTTATCTACCCCATGTGGGGGTCTTTTTTCCACCAAATCTTTAAATTTCATGCACTCTCCCTGCTTTTGTTCAGTCCATTCTGTCTGGTAGCTCTACATATTCAGTTGATTGTCTGACATTTCACAACTCCATTTGATCTTCCTATTCTTCATATGTATTTTCTTTCATAGGGCTGCACAACAGTGGATTTTTTGCCGATATCTGATAGGCTGATATATAACAACTCATTTGGCTGATACCGATACCCATATATTTTGCCCACCTAAGTTTAGTGATCATTAAGTCTCTTCTTTAGTGGCATTAACATCAAATTATGAATGCATAATCTTTTTGTGATGGAGCAGGAGTGATGGAGACATGAAATACAATGCTTTTTAGTGTATGTAATATTTATTCATTGTGCAAAATAAGAAAAAGCTTGTTGGCCGATTCTGATGGTTAATTTTTAAGCCAGTATTCTAGTTACTCCTCTTGCCTTGTCTGCTTTACCCATTTACCAATTTTTACCTCTTTAAACACCAACACCATTTTCTGCTGTATTTACAAGGCTTGGATGGTATCCATTTTATTCATACCTTCATACCTTCCAAAAATTTCACCAGGGTATACAGTATATGACAGTATTTGTGTGCAGTGCAACTTGTCACGTTAAAGGGATAGTTCAACATTTTGGCAAATTCGCATATTGCCGTAATCCCTATAGTCATATGGGTAGGTACATTACCTTTAATTATCAGTGCCTGTTGTTCTGAGATCGGTGGGGCAGAGCTGCCTGCTGCTCAGCACATAAAATGGAGGTGAACGATACAGCCTCCTCTCAAAACTAATCAAATACACCATCAAATGACTCCAAAACGCTCTTGTGGACAACTTGTAGCTTACACATTCACCAAGCTATGAAATAATAATGTAATATTATGAGACAGAGCCTGCACTAAACATATGCTGTTTGAAATCACTCCGCCCAGCAAGTACTGTATGTCTGGAATGTAGTTCCGGCTGTGCATTTGGCTTCAAAACAACTCTCTCGTAATATTACATTATTATTTCATAGCCTTGTGAATGTGTAAGCTACAAGTTGTCCACTAGAGCGTTTTGGAGTCATTTGATGGTGTATTTGATCAGTTTTGAGGGAGAGAGGGGGCTGTATCGTTCACCTCCATTTTGTGCACTGAGCAGCGGGCAGCTCTGCCCCACCAATCTCAGAACAGCAGGCACTGACAAATAAAGGTAATGTACCTACTCATATGACTATAGGGATTACGGCAATAGGCGAATTTGCCAAAATGGTTAACTATCCTTTTAAGGCTCATTTATACTCCCTTTATGTATGGAACTAGATACTTTCGTCACTGCTCCATACTGTAGCTCCATGTATCCTATATGGTGACATAAAAAACAGCCACCTGATGGCACTAGAGGGCAGAGTCACAGTTTCCACACAACAACAAACAAGGCGACAGTGGAGGATGTTGTAATATTGTACCGTTAAACAGAGGCAGCATTGTACACAGCGGTGGTCTGTGCATCCAGTATATACATATATCCCCGACTGGTGGACATAATATTCTTTTCACTATATTACACATTTGTTCAGTTCCACCATTATTTAAATTTCTTTGTCGTCTCCTGTGGTCATATCTTGCTTGAACTACACTATACTACCTCCACAGTCTCCTGTGGCACTACTCCTTTTCGTCAGAGTCTGTAAGCTTTCAGAAAACATGCACAAATACGGACAAAATGAACACAGAGTACGGACAGAAGGCTCCAACCATCTCCATATCTAACGCTTAGCATAAATGAGCCCTTAGTCGTTGAGTTAGTAAGTCCACTGTTTCAACAATCACCAACTCTGGTTTGATCAAAATTAAACATTAATTCATTGTCAGACGTGAAACAGCACTATTTTTCCCTGCGGTCTCTCTCTGCTGTTGCTGGCTCGCAGTTTACAGTCCTTCGAGGTTATCCCCGCCACTGACAGTTGCCATGTCTGTCAGCTCAGCTGCCTGTTCTGCCAGACTGACCTCTGGAGGCATGATGTGAACTACATACACTACATCCTCATAACAGCCTCTTCAATATGAGGTTAAAAGAAAGCGGAGCATCTGTTTTTGTGATGGTTTTGAAAATCATACTTAATACCCTAGTATACCATAATACTGTGACACCGCCCAAGCCTAACACCTGCTGTCTTCTTCTGCATATCCTATCTTTCCTGCCTATTTTAGTTCTCTGTGTATGTGTTGTTCAGTCTCCCTTTTAAATATTCAGTTGCACAGTCCGAGTGATGTCTGTTTTTGCTCAAATGTATCTCAACTCCCTCTTCTTCTTGTTCTATTAATGCTACTTTAAGAAGTAGAGCACATAATGCAAGCCCTGCCCACTCTGCAGTCAAAGCAGGGCTCCTCTCTCTCTCCCTCTCTGTGATGCTGCTGTGCACTGTACAACTTAATGTGTCGAGCTGCAGAGCTGGCCTGCTAGCTCATTTAGCTGACTACACACACAGGGGCTCTCAGCCACCCCAGCCAACATTTGCAGCAAGAGCAAACGGCCCACAAACTCCCCGCAGCTAAAGGCTTTAGCCAGGACCTGCTACCACAATATGGTATTACGCTATGGATCTATGACCCTGCAGACTCAAGCTGAGGACTAGGATTTCAAAGCAGCTGTCTCTGCAGCACATCACATATTGAGAGGTGAAGGAACTGCACCGAGAGGAATTTGCTGAATTGGTGATGAAGGTGTTGTTTGGCTGACTGGATGCTGAAGTATAAAGAGGGTGTTGCAGGGATGGGTGGAATATTGAGATCATCATGAGACGATGGTTTAGCAGTCGTGAACAAGGAGGGCTGCTTGTGTGTGTTTGTATTGTGATGACTAGCATGTGAAATCTGTATCTATGTGTCATTACAGGTCTCTGGATTGTGACATGTGTGGGCTTGTGTTTACATTGTAGGGGCATTTTGGGGTTTATTCATGCCACACATGTTGCAGCACTTAAATGTGTGTTCACATGAAACAAAGGCATGATTGTCCTTTTTCGCTGGAACCTCTTTGACAGGTCTTTCCACATCTGTCAGATCAGACGGCTGCTGAAACTGAAGTGGTAAAGCAAGGGTGTCGCTGTGCATTACTTCACCGTCAGGCCTGTTGTTTATATTTCTGTACGTCAAAACTCCACTGACATGTTTTTATTAACTACTGTCGACAGATGCTCGTGCCCAAGTTTCGTTTTTTGTACAGTTGTTTGTTGTAGGGTTAGTGTTGCATGTCTGAGTCATGCAGAGAGTACGGTTGTGGCATGTTTTCCCATTCAGCTTGTGCAGTTGGGATCAATATGGATCCGTTTAAAGCACACTAGTAAGCAACTGAAACACATTTGGTGCTGACCCACTTCCAATGGGTGCTGGCACGGATATTAACGTTATACTGGTGACACAGAAACAATAAACTCTGCTGCTCAGGGAAAGTGTGCAGATAATTAGGCATAACCACAGCAGGTGCAGTGTAAATTTAGCACATTATTTGTAGATTAGTGGCATTCTGTGCTTTAGCAAGATGAAATATCATGTGCATATGTGGTTTTGATCTATAATGAAAAGAGTTCTGGTTTGATCCTGGTGATCTGGTGTCCACCTTAGAAGTACCCTTGAGAAAAAAACATGAAATCCCTTTGTGCAGTGAAGTTGCATCTTAGCTAGGCTGGTTCTCTGCTTTGGGCTACAGAGATGAATTTCCCCTCAGGAGTCAGCACAGTATCACACAGGAAAGACTTTGTGCTTTTCCTGAGCAGCAGGCCAGTTCCTTTACTCTTCCTCCAAGTGTGTTTCAACGGCAGCAGAGGGTGTTTACACTGACAGTATGACTGAAATAAACACATTAAGCCATGCTGAGCTTTCTTATCAAAGCAATCCCTGTGGAGTGCCGGTTGACATGGACACAGTAAATATAGCTGGGAACGCTTGGCCAACAGTGCTAAAGGTGCAGCCCTGTGTGATCTCCCTGTGGCTTCCGACAATCTGTACATTCTGCATTTTAGGCATTTAGCTGACTCCAAAGGGAGTCACATCGAATGCAGCAATCTTTACTTCCTCATTCACATTCAGCATTACTTTGGGACATTAGGTTACAAGGAAGAGTCAGAGGTACAGCCCCCTTCAGCTACTGATTTTCACAGGGTTTCTGCGTTGTAAGGAGATGAGATTGACCTGGTAATTTATGTACTTGGGGCTATGCTAGCTAACACGCAAATATAAATCACTGTAACCCCTGAAGGGATGCTGTATTTTAGCAGCAGAAGTGCCTGTGAATGGTTTCAGGGTCAGAACAATGGCTCAGTCTTGTTGTGTTTGTGCAGGATGCATTAGCTAATATGTTGCTTCTTTGGAGGAGGCTGGATTGTCATGACCAGAAAACCAGTTTGTATTGCTTTATAGAAACGTGAAGGGAAAAGAGTGGAGACTTTTTTTCAAGTGTTTGCTTCATGCACTTTCCTGTGATAAGACTATGAGTTGACAAATTATTATTGGTAGCCATTTAACCTATTTGGAAGACAAGTGAATGTTTCCATGTGTTGGCTTCGTGTACTTAATTGAATTGCACAAATTGTCTTCTGAAAGACATTAAATTACAATACCCTAATGTTTTGCAATTTTATTCATTTTATGGCAATCATTGGTTTGGAACAGCCAACTCAGGCTTCAAACAAATTGGCTCATTGTACCTTGAATGACATGTTTTGTCTTGACAGTAATGGACAGTATGTCTGGATCCAAGGTATCATTATGAAGATCTTTGTCTTCAGTGAGGAAGTTGCATTTAAGATTGCAGTCATAATCACTGGATGACCTGCGTTGCCATTGTTTTAAACAAACCTTAACAATTTTCTCTTTCTGTTAGTGTTTCATGAATAAGATTGCATCTGAAGCCTTAATTGGGTAATGACTTTAGAAGTATAGCATGTGTTATCTATTATTTTTATTTTATTTTATTTTATTTATTTCTTTTTTAAATGAACATGTAGAGAAGGTGGTGGCACAGTGGTGCAGTGGTTAGCATTGTTGCCTCACAGCAAGAGGGTTACTCTGCTGGAGGGGTAAGGGGTTCAAACCTCAGGGTGGGGGAGCCCTTCTGTACGGAGTTTGCATGTTCTCCCCGTGTCAGCGTGGGTTTTCTCCAGGTGCTCCAGCTTCCTCCCACAGTCCAAAGACATGCAGGTTAATTGGTGACTCTAAATTGTCCGTAGGTGTTAATGTGAGTGTGAATGGTTGTCTGTCTCTATGTGTCAGCCCTGTGATAGTCTGGTGACCTGTCCAGGGAATACCCCGCCTCTCGCCCAATGTCGGCTTGGATAGGCTTAATGAAGTATTGTTTTGTTATTGGTATCACTTTAATGTTTTTTTAAACAATAGCCAGCCCTGGTAACTTTCAAATTAAACCTTACTCTGACTGGAAAAAAACCTGTACATATCTGTTTTTGTTTTCACTTGGTACTGAGATGGACTGTTGTACTTTTTTCTTTACAAACAAGTATCATCTCATGTTGATGATGTCTGATTGTATTTTTTTTCTTCCATTTCAGGTTTTAATCACCATCTACTGGTTGGGTCGTGCTGCCAACAGCTGTACCTCCTACAACGGTCCCACACTGGACCTGAAAGAGTTTGAGGGCCTGCTGTCACAGATGCGAAAGGTTTGTTTAGTAATGTCTTCGCCTAAAAATATCATGAAAATGTAAGTCTAAAAGTACAGGGGAAAGTTAGTCAGTTGTTTCTGTTGTATTACAAATCTCCTAGCAACCATAGCTGGTATAAAGGGTAGAGAGAGGCTGTCTTTTTTCTGTAAGCAGAAAATCACATTTGATCCCTGCAGTAACCAAATGTCTTGACGAAACACACAGATTAAACCGGACCACTTATTTTTTTGGATGCACTGAATGAGTGTGTGTTTGTTAAATGTTCACAGACTTCTCAGAAATCATCTCAGGCAGTGCGTAACACCCCTCACCCGAAGTCCAGGGATGACCTCTGTTCAATGGGGCTCTTGTGTCAATCATCTTGATCTGGTTCCACCCCTTTACTGACCCAAAGGGACAAAGAAAAGTTAACATTAGCAAGCCCTGAAAAATAAAAAAAAACACACATACAGACACACACACTCTATGACAACCACTCATAACCATGATGTCACCCCCATGCGATTTATTCCACAATGTGACGTCCCTTCGCTGTTCCATAAAACTGAGAAATTGCTGCCAACTCAGCAGAGTAACTTTCCCAGATGTTCACACGTTGCCACTGACCAAAACAAAGCCACGTTTCTATGAAACAGAAAGAGAGTTTAATAATAAATTGAGATTTGAAAATTAAGGAGAACACATCAGGTGCACACATTCAAGATTAAATTGGCACTCCTCAGGTCACTTACTAGCCAAACCTTAAAAAATGATGATTGAAACACAAGAAGCAGGCATATGTTTGGCCCGCATGCACTCTTCTGCTTAGTCATTCTAAGTAGCTCAGAGTATGTGTGTCATTTAAAGGGTCATTTCACCTAAATTAGGTAAAAAAAAATATACCAACCAAGTTACCGCAGGTGGTATCTAGCCATCAATAGTTTTGGTTCTATTTGCCTGGTTTTGCAATATCCACCTCTTAAATTTGTACATAATTCAAGTAAAGACAACCAAAGAAAAAATGACCATATGTCAGACAAAGATGTAAAGTCAGACTGGAATTCTGCTGCAGTACAGTCTAGTTGCAAACACGATATAGTTTGTGAGAGGTTAAGGAGTTGCATAACAGACCGGTGCAGGGGTCAGGAACAGGAAGTCTTTTGGTAGACAGGAAAGGCCTTTCCCCACCTTCCATTAGCTGCATAGACATGTTTTAACTGTGGACAGACAAAGGGAGGGGTCACTGAGGTGAAGAGAGAGATCCAGAGAGGGGTTTGAGCACAAGAAAAGATGCAGAGAGGAAGAAGTAGAAGAAAAAGCAACAGGACTAGAGAAAGTTGATGTAGGATTGTAGGATGTTTGTAGGGGACAGGACATAAACAAATTTATCAGATACTGTTTGACCTGGTAAAAATTAAATTCACACAACAGAAGTTTACTTGATGTACATTATGTAAAATGTTACGCATCTGTCCTTTTATTACATGTTTTACACAAACATGTACATTTTATATAACCTGGACATGTGTTTATGAATGTTAAGGAGGCAGACGAGGCAGAGAGCCCTAAACGCAGCATCCGGGACAGCGGCTACATCGACTGCTGGGACTCTGAGCGCAGCGACTCTCTCTCCCCGCCACGCCACGGCCGCGAGGACTCGTTCGACAGCCTGGACTCCTTCGGCTCACGCTCACAACAAACCCCGTCGCCGGACGTCCTGGTCGCCCGCGGCAGTAGTGATGGTAGGGAATAGTCTTTTTTTTTTTTTTTTTTTTTTAAACACACTACAACACTAGTTTGAATTTATGGTGAATGTGTGACATTGCTGCTGGTATGAACATCAATAAAATTAAAGGTTACAGGTTTGATTTGTTCAATAGCCATTGTGTCATATGTCTTGCGAAAGGGGAGTAATTCGGTACTAGCTGCTTTGTTTGGGCCAATTGTTGTGTTCAGATACAGTATATAGATAAATGAGGTGCATTGTCCCTCTGGTGCTACTGTAGTAAACCTTGTTGTTCTCCTCCCTGTGTTTTCACAGGACAACGCCCAGTGTTAGTCAAAGGCTATTTGAAATAATAAAGTAAATGATCTCAGTGCAGTGCCTGTTTTGTAGCCAAACTATGGCCATTGTTTCATTTTAGTTACAGCTATATGTCTGTGAAAGGGAAGAAAATCAGTACAGAAGCTGCTGCTGTTGTTGTGCTCAAATTTAGCCTGTAGACACAGTGTATTGTAAATGAGGTAGGCTGTGCTTCCGCTGTGGCAAAGCCTGACTGTTCCAAAGTGTTTGCAAAGCATTTACTGTTGGTAAAAAATCTGTCTGCAGTTCAGTTTTAAATTGTAAAAATATTAGGAATCCAGTCTGCTATCATTTATTAATCCAGGAAAAGCCATGTACACCACAAGTCTTAAATTCTTTTCTGAAAAGCTGCTCATGTACGTCCTCCGTGTTTCTATCAGTTCTCAGATCAACCATATCTGTTGTCAATCTGCAATGTTGGAAAAAACATGCCCCAGCCTGGCTTCAATAACACATGCTGTCATGTCTGTTTTTGTTTCCAACACATTTCAGTTCTGTAATATTAACTTGGACCCCACCAACATGACATCTAATGTCAGTTGAATCACATGACATAAAACAGAAGACATTCAATTTATTTGTCCTCATGGAAACAATGAAAATATCAGATTAAGTTGATAAAATGAAAGTGGCAAGAAGGCTACACATGTAAGGATTTGATTTGATCTAGAAAAAAAGGCACTAGCATAGTTTGTTGTTTACACATCATGTCTTTGTCCCTCAAGACAAATAAAAATCCAGGAGACTATTAGCTGTACAGACATTGAGCCCCTGCCTTCTCAGAGCTCTGATTAAGAGTGTCAGATAAATGTTTACAGTTGAAATATATTAGTTGTGGTTAAATATAGACTGATATTAAAACTGCCCACCACACCTCCTCTTTGCTTCCTTAAATTCAACTGACTAAAACGCACCAACACACTGAAAAGTCAATATTTCTAATATAATGTATTTAATCCATCTATTTTCCTTGTTTTTGGACAAAAATCAATATTAAAAATAAACCCTCCCATCATCTTTATATCTTTGGATTCTTCATTTCACTTTTAAAATGCATACTGCAGCAAATCTGTTTTATTTTACAGTCATTTTATCTATTTCTGCATCTGTGTGGGTTTATCTATTTATGCACAGCTTGTATGTGAATGAACGGGTGCCTCAGCCGTCGTGCATGTCCAGCCTTGCAGGCTCATCGTGTTTCTGACACCTTTCAGTGTGGATTTCAAGCTCTGCCATTGACATCCACACAAAAGTGGCTCTGTGCTGAGAGTTAAAGCCTGTTGTTCTGGACTGCAGTTGTTTGATAACAATTTTAAAGTGTAGAATGAGATGAGTGACCGCATTAGAGACAGAGGAAGACATGTATCATCCTGATACATTGGGATAAAGAGGTGTGTTTGTATGAGTAAAGCCTCTCAGTGATTTTTGATCTGACACTTGACCTATCTGTCAGTGACGACCAAACTTCCAGCTTTCTGTTTGAGATTAAAAGACACAAATCCATATAATGGTACAGCCTCATCTTCAGTAATGAAATGTATAGTTAATACTTTGTAGACTTATTCATCTTTCAAGTGTACGAATTTGAATTCCTGAGTTAAAATAACTTGACAGTTAGAAGTTGCGCAGAAATATTACATTTTCCTCAAACACTAAATTATGATTTTCGCTTTCTTTTTACAGATGATTTCGTGAGCCTATTTTGACTGACAGCGGTATTTCTCACCTTGATTTCTACACCTTCTTCTCTAGATTTGCCCCTAAGTTTTCGCTGTGTTTCAGTCATTCAATCAATAGACTCTACTGGTGTTGATACACACACAAAGTACAGTTGATAATCACAGATACTAAAATGAACAGAATAATACACCACAAAAAGATATGACTGCATGTACGTAATCTTTATGTTTTGCTTTGTTTATTAGTCTTTTGTTTAAATAACCATATATTGGTATATGTAATTCAATACATCCAACACAGTAGCATAACAAGGGAACATAATGTTTACTTTATCACGACAAGCATGAGCTGCAAACAGCTGCCAGTTTGTTTAATGCTCTGCGCGGAGGTCAAAAATAGAGTTTGGCTGCATTGAAGTCGTTTATAATGCCAAGCCGACCATATGCTGTCATACAAGGCTGTTCATTGCTACACTTTATTTGAATTTGACCCTTTTAAATTTTAATGACAGCCTATAAAAGGTTACAGCAGTCGTCACAGAGCTTAATGTACGTTTTCATCTCAGAACTGCGTGTGGGAAAACACAGAGTGAAACCACGCATCCTGTCTGAGTGTGTTTTTGTTTTGAAGGAAGTGTGAAGGAAACTGCCGTCTCCAAAGCCCGAGCTGCTGTCACCAGCAGTCAAACTCACGAAAAACTTCACTGGATGTTGATGTTTGAAAATCCACCCTAAATAAATACTGAAAACTAAGTAACAAAACAATGAAAACATAGTTTCATAACAGCAAAAATATTCAGTCTCCGTCAGTGGCAAACCTACAATTTTAATGTCAGACACATCCAAAACAAGGGCCAGTAAACAGTCACATTTTTGATTGGCATTCAGCAATCTGCAGAAACTCATCACAGCAGTGAAAGACAAAGTTTTCCTCTCAGTAGACCAGAATGCAAAGCTGTCACAGGCATCTAGATTTTACTGTACAAGCATTACCACAATCAATCTGTCCACCAACACTTGTAACCCACAGCTGATTAGTCACATCGTCAAGCTGCTTGTATTCTCATACGCCCACCTCTGATCCAAAGTAACATGATCTGTCAGTTTGGAAAAATGACCAAAATTGCCAACTGATTAAAAAATGAGGAGGCATGCTGGAGATGTGGACCAACAAAAAAAAAACTGAATTACATTTTCACAAAGTGACTTGTGGAATGCTTTGAACAGCACAGATTGATGATGTATCACAACATGATCTGAAGTTGGAATTTCCTCAAGGCTTTTTAATTTATAACTGTCAGATGCACTTTGTGGCTCAGTCATGCAAACAGGGATAGAAGGTTAGTGTGTCACGACTAAGATGTACGCTGGTGTTGAGGGTATCATACTATCAGTGTTCGGATCAGACCCAGGAGGCACAAACTGGAGAAGTGAGAACAGGATAACAATGCAGTTATCATCCAATCACAGGGAGCTTTGAGTACAGAACAACAGCATCCATTTATAACACGCTCACAAACTTGACTCAGCCAGGTTTTTCCTGCCCTGACCTTTCAAACAAAACCCTTTCACTGTTCAGCTCTGTAAAGTGACTTCACCCTGACAGTAATTAGGGGGCAGGGAGGGGAGTTTAATTCAGTCTCTGAAGGAGATGCAATATTGCAGATGCTCTTTTGTCTGGGCCAAGTTTGGTAGATGGATACTGTGTTGATAAATGAGACACTTTGTGCTTCTGGTGCTGCTATAGTAAAGCCTCTCCTCTTCTCTTTCTATTTTTGTAGGACAACACCCATTGCTACTCAAAGGCTGTTTATAAGAATAAACTGGGTGATGTCACAGAGATGGTTTTTAGGGGGTTTTTTTTAATATAAGAAATTGTCCAGCATACAGGTTTTCTAAAAAAATACTGCACACATTTAAGTTGTGATTTTTGAAGTGAACTGAACTTGTCTGTTGGGTTTGTTTTTTTTACCGTTGTATTGTCTCATCCTTTGCCACTACTACACATGATGATGAGGTGTCCAGTGTTTATAGTATAATTGTACAGGCCTGGCGAGCCACCAGTTCAATGGGAATCTCTGCCAGGGCAAAAAATATTTTTTCAATGCCAAAAATAACACAAAATGTCCATTCAGTCAGTGTTTTCCCTGTGGTTAGTTCACATGTCTGTAATAGAAGCAGGAAAGTCAAGTGTCAATTGTCTAAACTGCTAAATGGGGTGGTTGGGGCTCAGAAGGTAGAGCAGTTCATCCACTAGATCCCAAGCTTCCACAGGTCCTTGAGCAAGATACTGAACCCCAAATTGCTCCTGATGGCTGTTCCATAGGTGTGTGAGTGCATTTAAGCCGAGTAGCAGATGGCACCTTGAATGGTAACATCAGCCACCAGTGTGTAAATGTGTGTGTGTGAATGGGTGACTGTGACATAGAGTATTAAAGCAACTTTGAGTGATCGGAAGACTAGAAAGGCGCCATCCAAGTGGAGTACCATTTAAACTCAGTAGTACACATGATGTGGAGATGATGTTGCCAGTTGGATACAGACCGTTACAGACAGACTTAGGTTGTGAACGACACGCTAACATGCTGATAGGTTCTGTGTTTTTGCTCAGCTAGACCAGAGCATATTCAGTTAAATCAGATCGATGATGCTGTTTTGCCCTCATTGTTCTCTGTGAAGTTTGCTGAAAGTGATGGAATATCATTGTTTTATGTGGAATGAACACCGCACCAGACCCAGTTTAAAAAATGAGGTTTTAAATGCTACATGGCATGTTAGCAATCGGTCATATGAGGCAATTTGGCCTTGTATACTCAGAATAATTTGGCATGCAGTTAACACACCAGTCATAATTTTGTTAAATTCAACTCCTGGCATTTGCTTCTGGTGTTCTTAACCGCTATTTTGGCGTAAGGAAACAACAGGAGTAAGAGGCGAACAAGTTTTTAGTCAAAGTCTAATCAGTGTTCACAGCCTGCAGCTATAACCAGAAATCGACTTGAGATGATGCCTACTTAGTTTTACACTTTATTTTTTCTCACAAGCTACTTGCTACAAACACTGGAGGCCCTGATTGGACACTATTAGGTTAATAGGCTTAAAATATTATATGATAATAAGATTCTGCCAAAATGTATGCGACACAATCCGCTGGATCATTTCTCCAAAAAGGAGTTAGAGTCATGACTTAAAGTGCTGTGAAAGAGAAATGTTTTTTGACCCTCGCAGACAGTCTTTGGCTTCGTGAGTACAGACGCCAGCTCGCAGAGAGCACACCAGAAAGTGTCTAGATTTATTCCACTTTAATACTAATAGAAATGTTGAGGGTCACTGTCGCTATCACTCTTTACTTCCTGAACTGGACTCCACAGCTTTTACATTTCCTCTAGTATTACTGCATGTTGATGATTATCAGTGTAAATAAGTCTCTGTGAAGCTCTGCTACAGCATGGCACTGACCCATGATAAATGTTCCCTCAAGCTTCAGTGTTCCCAGATGTGCAGAGCGAGCAGATTGCCCCGTAAAGACATATGTTGTTCCTTAAGGATGGTAGAGTCACTCATGTTTCCAATTGATGGGCGAAGAGTCATAATTGAACCACTCATTGTTGGAAGTGCAGATACCTCAAGGCCTCTTTTGGGCCTTGATCTGTCAATCTTTTAGACCACATGAAAATGAAGGAGGCTATTGATAGAAAGGGAGGATTTCACGGGTTCAAAATGTGACGTTTGTTTCCAATGAGAGCTGCGGCTGCATCCACATGTATCAGTTCAGAACTACGAGAAGATTTTACGGTTTTGATCTGGTTGAAATTGTGGGTTGGAAAATATATACATTGAGTCATAAATTCAGATGTAATAGATTGAGTATGCATTCATCCAGAGGGAGGGGAAATCCAGTAGCACATGTGCTGAACATCTTGGAGAGGAATTTTGCGGAGACCTTGGGTAAAGCAAGGCTGCAGGTATCAGTAGGGTTAGCATTAGCACAAAACAGCTTAATGAAGATGGACTGACTGGTATGCTAACTGTCCACTGGTGGTGGGATTTATCCTCATTTCTCTCTCTTGTACGCTGAGGATCACACACGGACATCTTGCGGAGGAATTTAAGACGCCGAGCAGGGAAAGTCCTTGAGCGATGCACTTCTGCAAAGCCAGGTGTTGCCATTGACATTAAAGAGCTAACAGTGTGTTTCAAATGTGATGCAGACAGACACAGTGGCATCGTAAGTGGATTCTTCCGAACTGTAGGGTAGAATTTAGTAAGCAGGAGCTGCACAATGCGAGTTTTCTGATGATTTATGTTACTTGCTTTGTTTCATAAAAACAGGACGTCAACCTGCTTGAGGTTGATTTATGTTCAGCCGCTGGAATGCACTGCGTATAATAACACTGGAGCAGCACTTTCATGTTTTGTAAGCCTGTATGATGTAACAGCTTGGGGGGATATTTAAGGGATTTTCATTCAGAGGTCCACAATTGGACTCCTCAATCAACTTTTTTTCTGCTCAATTTATTTTTGATTTATTCTCCCATACATATATTGCAGAAGGTTAATTTAACAAATCAGGGACACTGTCACATGTATATGCTTTATCAGAAGTGCAGCAAAATTAGTAGATGGCTGTGTAATCACAGTAGACGATAACAACAATTAAATGGGAAAATTAATGTAAGTAATTTGCTAGTAATCACAGCAAAGCATGTAGAAAGTAACTCTACTTTAAATTTAAATTAGTATATCCGTGATTACGTCTCTAAATAAGTTCTTTAATAATTTATTGTAATGTCCACTGCATGTTTTTATGCTTTTTGTGTAAATTAAAGCTTTGTACATAGAGGCTAGCAACCATGCACATCTATATGTACAAAGAAATAACGTACAAAAATTCTTCATAATCTTCATTATTAATAATAGCAAAACCAACAACAGTTAAGGTTAAAATTAAGAGAAGAGGAAAAACAAAAAGTAAACAAACAAAAAAAACAAAAGAAATGAAATGGGAAAGTGAGAGATTATGTTTTAAAATCATTTGTTTTTGAATTGCAGGATTGTCAGGGTGAGAGCGACACTAATATGTGCTAATTGCGCTATTGGAAATGTGCATCTTTTTTTTGCAGACACTAAATAACAAGATAAAAAAAGCCGGAGACTGTATTGTATCAAGCTGCTGTGAGCTGTAACTTTACCACTGCTAAGTAGACGGTAGATAATAACGTTATCTTGGAGCTTGACTGGGCAAAGCTTCTATTCCCTCGAGCAGCTGCCTCCATCATAACATCCCCAGAAGTACACTGCTCACTGACTGACACAAAAATAAAGAAAAGACTGCATGACTTGAAGAATCTCAGGTGACTGAGGGGACTCCGACTGGTAATTTGAATCTCTGACTTTCAAGGGGCAGCCCTAAATAATAGTTTAAAAAGGTGAATGTTTTTAAAATGGCTGATGTCTTTTTTTTTCCTAAACAGAACATATTAAATGTTATAATTGTGCTATTTATCTTGTTCCAAAATGCATTTGCAAACTTGCCAACAGATTAGCTGCAGAATGATCCCTGTTAATAAACTCCCTTCATTCCTCCCGTCCTCTCAACAGGCCGCGGCAGTGACTCAGAGTCCGACGGTCCTCCTCACAGGAAGATGCCAGACGTCCGAAAGGATGACATGTCGGCACGGCGGACGTCCGTCAGCGAGCTACGAACTGCCATGCCCTTTAACCAGTACCTGCCCAACAAGAGTAACCAGAGTGGATATGTGCCCACACCACTCCGGAAGAAGAAGAACGATAAAGAGGAGGGAGCACGCAAGAGTTGGAGTACTGCTACCTCCCCTGTAGGAGGAGACAGACCATTCAGGTGAGTCAGAGTGTGGTAGTAATTACAAGGGAAGAAACACTGTCGTTTATTTGAGGTAGTTTAGATATTTGAATGCAAGTGTATTTTTTATAACAAGCAGAGTTAAAGTGCACTTAAAGTGTTTCAATGAGATATACATATTATTGTTATTAACCAGTGTAAAGCTTCACTAATCTAATGAAAGAGTGTTCTGTGTAACTAAACTCAATACAATTACATGATGTAAAAAGTCTGTGCATGTTCAACATTAAACCACTTAACATGATAAAATATTTGTGCTAAAAGTTAACATTTCAGACAGGAGCTCTGAATATTCAAGGTTTTTTTTTTTTTTTATTTAGTCGTAAAGAGCAACTGTGAATACATTAAATAATCCACCTTTATATAGAGGGGCATATTCTCTGACTTTTGGTATAATCCCGTTCAGTATGTGGGTGATGGTGCAGCTGAGTTTATGTATGAGATGATGGACTTGAGGACAGGTTTGACCAATATGGTGCTGAGCTATTCGAGGTGTAATTGCGTAATAAACTGCTAATTTGGCAACAGGTTGTACCATCATGACCTTATTTTAGCTTGAAATTGATTTGCTGCAAATAAAACCTTTGAAATAAAAGGCTGTTATAAATATTCTGACAAACAAATCTGGCTGTACCAAATGATCTAATCTCCCTGTGTGTGTTGTGTGTTTTGCATGAGAAATTCTTGACACAAAGGAAATCAGTATTGGTAGAAGTAGGCCATCAAGTTATTTGTAGTGAAAGTGTGATGTTTTCATAGAATGATGAAACTGATCAGATTGACAGCATTATTGGATGTGTTGGAAAATAAGTCATTTGTTTATTATTCACTGTCCGATACCCTCCAACATATTTATTTTGGTGAATTCTGTGTTGTTTAATAATTTTCCTAGATTATGTGTCACTCATGTCTAGTTGCAGATGAACGTTTCAGCTTGATTATTGTTCTCTGTCCAGTACTGTACTCATGGGAGTGGCTGATAGAGTCCAGATGTGCGTTTTCATTGGCTCTGACTCTGACGAAGCACAAGTGTGAAATATACTGCATAGACGAGGCAGATTAAAGTCTGATGGTCTTATTGGCATTTATTGGTTTGGTGTGTAGAGAGCGCTGAGATCAAAATTTTTACTCTGTTAAGCATTTCATTGTCAGGGGCTCCTCTCACTGAAGAAGTTTCAAATTTCTGCTGGCTTAGTGGATTCCATAATGTGCCTTGATCCGTTTTAGTGTCAGTATGTGCAGTGTTAGTGGTGTGAGTGTGTGTTTAGTGGCGGAGTGTCAGGATTTGACTGCAAGTAGTTTTTGAAGGCTCACGTTTTGAGGTTTGGGCGTAGCATTAGTTAACTGTAGCAGCAGATTGAAGGTATTTAATTAAAAGTCACATAACTGCAATCTATTTAGTTTTACCTCAGTGTGTTTACATTTCCATTTCCAGTCGGTGCATATACTGTAGGGTAGTGTGTACTGTGTGTGTGTTGTTCATGTGTGTGTCACCCAGTGTATGTTGTTAATTTGTCTCTCATTCTCCCTGCCATTGACTTCATCCATCGTGTCACATCCAAACACATGTATTAATTGGTTTTGTATTGCTGTTGTTTTTTTTCCCCTCCATCTCCTTCCTGTGCATCCATCATGGTGTTTTCCCTCTTACCTCCCTTTACGTTTCGTGTGTGAACCTAATTTTCCCCACATCCGTGTGTTCCATGTGTCACTTCCATCATGTCGTGATCATCCTCGTGTCATTGTTGCTAATTTTGCGTCACTGTTATTACGTCATCCGTCCCTGTGTGTGAATGGGTGATGTAACAGTCCAAATGAGGTCCCTAGCTTAGATGACCCACCTGGAGAGTCCCCCAGCCCGTCCCCCACCCCGCCCCACATACAGATTCAGAAGGAGAACCAGACTAAAAAGGACGAGGAGGAAGGGAAGCAAGCTGCCTCCACACCTTACGTTGAGATCCATGTGGTGGGCGTGAGGAGGAGCAGTGATCCTCTGTCTCGTAGCTTCCCCCGGCCCCATGCAGAGCCCCCCATGGACAGCGTAACTCAGCTGATGGTCACCTCTGAGCAAAGGTCTTCACCTTGACTTATGTTTTCATGAATACCTCAAATCAGCAGCCTAATCCCCTTTTATTGGCATGGTTCTGATTCATAGTTCCTCCAAATCAACTTGATCTAAAAGATAAAGATTGTAGAATTTAAAATTATTTGCTGATATTTTTCAAATGATAATTTGTTGATATTGTTCTTGTTTTTTTTTAAAGGGGAACTTCAACAATTTTACACATCAAAGTCTGTTTACAGGTCTTTGAGAGTACTACCGCATACTTTAAAGAAAGTTGCGTAAAGCCTTTTGTGGCTCCTTTGGGAGCTGTGTGAAGTCTGATGAATTGCCTAAAGTGATGTCACTTGTGGCAACTTTGGTTTGATGAGACTACAAGTTTGAAAAAGTAAAAAAAACAAATGGGGGTATGGTGAAAAGGGGTTCCCAGACCTCTGTAGCCTGCTCCTCAGCTCTGCTGCATGCTGAAGGTTCCAGGCTACATTAGCTGCTGCTAACATAAGACACCTGAATCTCTGACTGAATTGTCGGCAGTTGAGTTGCACTGTGGGTATTGTAGGAGCCAGGTTTAAGGAAGAAGAATGTGTGGAATAAGAAAATATGCTGTCTCTGGCTCTGCTGCATCAATTTTTGTATAGGAGAGCAATGCTGAACATATGGAGGACTCTTTTAATGTTGGCCATGAATCAAGTCAGCAGCGTGGGTTCTTATTGCTGCTGAACTTCTGTTTTGTTTAAAGGTCAGTTCATCAAAATCAGAGAACGTCTCACTTGCCTCCAGGGACCTCTAGCCATGCAGATAATTCCAGCTTCATGTGCAGATTTACCCGCTGAGACACTGCCTGCGACACCGCACAGGGAAGGCGAATGGAATTTTATTTGTGAAACTGAAAAATTACACTTGAAAGTCTCCCCAGCAACACATCTGTCCAAAAACAATGTCCCAGTTGATCAGGGTGATTCACATTCTTCACTGTGAACAGTTTTCTTTTGTAGAAAAGAGTTTGCTTTCACAGCTGGTGTTTTCATCCAGCACCTTTTCGTCTTTGGCACTGCCAGATTACCAGATCATTATTTCTAATGGTGTTCTTATCCACAGCAACATAACAGTGAGTCAGCAAGAAGTTCAGTGCTTAATAAAGCCAAGTTACATATTATACAGTTTGTTTGTTTTTTGTTGATTTTTTTTTTATTAGATTATTTTAGGGCACTTTTGCCTTTGCTGGACAGGAGAGTGTTAGAGTGAAAGGGAGACAGGATGACAAGCAGCAAATGGCTGCAGGTTGGAATAGAACCTGGAGCTACTGCGGCAAGGACATAGCCTTTGTACATGAGGCGCTGCTCTTCTAGGTGAGCTAGTGTGCACCCCATATGGAGTCTTTACCCAGCAGGCCAGCCAGGAGTCACAAATTTTACACTTGGTGTTGCGTAACAAGGTGAGGATTATGAGCTGTCAAGACACAGAGCTGTTGTGCACTGTGATGCGTGATTACTATGTTGCTCTCTTGAAAAATGTCTGTTGTTATTTCACAATCCAGCCCTGTCCGGTGTTATTTCCTGGTCCAGCAGACGTTTCATTCACAGCCCTGTTAGAGAGTTATTAGAGTCACACCCCCAGTTTCCAGCTTTTTCTGGCACAGATGTTAAGGCATTGATTGGATTGTCAGCGTTTCAAGGGAGTGAAAAGAATGCTCCAAGGACATCTGACTTGTTTATGTCTGCATTCCAAGGAAAAGGGGGGATTTCTAGGATGTTTTTAAAAGGCTTTGATATCAGCTTCTTTAGTTGGTAACAGCTTGCATTCTTCCAGAAGACAGCTGAGGCTGGAATTTGTGGGGGGAAGTAAAAACAGTTGTATCACATAAACATATCACATATTGACACATTTAATACAAGATCGCTTGACCATTCCCATTAAATTCCAGGAACAGAACTGCACACAGTTTTAACCACAAGCCCATACATACCACCTGCAGGTACACACAGAAATGTACTGTATGTGTTCACACACTCGCAGGCAGCATGAACATGCGACCCACCCTCAGGATGTACGGAAATGAGGCTTTCTTCCTTCCCTGACCCTGAGCAGGCTGGGACTGCAGCCTGGCCTTTTCACAGCCTTTCTCTCCCGGCCATGCATCCTGGGAATTTATAGTCCAATAATAAACCTCTCAGAAAGTAGCTGTTCATCACAGAATGACAGACAACAGAGCGTTCAGCGAATTTTGCTTTGGCTGTCTGACTTCAATTTGTTTTTACATCCAGTCTCCGCCGAAAGAGTTTGTGACCATGCTTTGCAATTTTCTTAGATTTATGTCTTCAAAATCCTCCATTTAGGCTCCTCCAGAGAAATGCTGTCTGATGAGATAGGATGATAACCAGGCAGCGGTACGCTTTAGTTTGCTTTGCTTTCTGCAGTACTCCAGCTCGCTCGTGCTCAGAGGATTTCTTCCACCATTCAACGACTCTCGCAGCAAATGCTGCGGCAACCCCCGTGGACGCAGCAAGCCCCGTCATCACGTCAGGGCAACATCCACCTGTGACGGAGCAGAAGGGAGCTGCTGCTGTCCCGTCAGTCGATGCAGAGAAGGCCGGCCAAACACCCGCCAGACCCTCTCCCAAACACATCACAGCCCCGAGTCCCCCTCACTTCCTTCCTTTGCCTGCCGCCACGGCAACCGTTACAACAGCAACAACCGATACAGGCCGACGGAAGGGAAGGGCACTGAGCGAAAGTGACGACTCACAGGGAGGGAGCTCTTGGATGGACAGCAGTCTTCCAGCAACGTGAGCCCAGTCTAGCAACTACACTACATTTTATGAGTTTCTACTGCGTTGAACTAAAACTACATAATTCAACTTTAAAATCAAGGGCTCTGTTCCAATGATCAATCTCAGCATGTGACTTCGACCTCAGACGGCAGTGCTCCTATCTGGATGACTTAATTACCCAGAGATTGCATGATCTTTTTTACATGAATGCAGATTGACATTGTTTTATAAAAACCAATTGTTATTGTTCACAGAATGCATGGAAACTCTGAAAAATGTGTATTTGTTTCTCATTTCCTTGCTTTTTTTCCTGTTAAAGGTACACTATGCAGGATTTTCATTTAAAAAAAAAAACAATATATCAACTCATACAGAAGTAATCCCTCTTAATCATCACTTGCTGGAGATATTTATGGTCGTGTACCCCCACAGCTCTCAGGTGAGGTCAGGGCTTTATAAAAAGGTAGCGACCAGGTACTAGACCATAAGCAGCAGGCATCCAAGAGACATAGCACTAAAAAAAACAAAAAACACAAATAGCAAGGCTAAACGCCAGATGAGCGTGAATCTCGGGTTGGCTTTTACTTTCACTGGCGAGCATTTTCACCAACAGTAACCGACAATCCTGCGTAGTATACCTTTAAGAAATTTGGAGATAAAAAAACTTTGAGAATGTGATTAACTATGCATGACCTCAGTTGGAGCTTTGATCTCATCAGGAGACACAATTAGGGGATAACAGCAATGAATACTGAAATGTGTTTGATCTAATTTAAAAACCAAAATTATTTGCTAATTCTTTGAATGCATTTATTGTTCCAATCAGTGAAACATCGGCCATTCCATGTGTGCCAATAAAATGGCTGGCTTTAATACAAGCCCCACTGAATCACAGGCTGACATCTTTCTACAAAAAAACATGGCAAATAGACATTTTACTACAACAAACCATATGGCAAATAGTCATCTTAGAAAACAATCTATCTGGTCCTGATTTAGCGAGGTCTCTCTTAATTTAGTCTCCTTGTTCTCTTGTGGCGAGAAACCACAGGCCACGCTTTCTCTCATGCCCCTCCAACATCACAGAGACAGCCCCATAAAAAAAGACTGTGTGAAGACCTTTGTGGTTGAGGCCAAACCTACAAGTGGTGGTCGCAGACAGGAAGGGAGCCACATCCTTCATGTTGTCTAATAAAAGATGCATGTGCTTTTTTTTTTAAGTGGTTAAGTGTCAGCTGCATTCTAAGATCATTGCCATATGCATCTGTTGTATGCTAGCAGTGTTTTGGTTTGCAGTGATGCAGTAAACTTGTCTTCTGTTCTGCTCTGGCTGTGTTATGGATAAGACTGCCCCCTTGTGCTTGGTTTAAGGACTGTCAGTATACACAGGAACTGACAGATACAAACTATATGCATAGATACAAAACCAGCAGGCACAGTTGTTTTAAACATTATTTATGAACCATTTTGTATTAAAAAAAAGTCATAATTAACTCATCATCAGCTGTGATCACTGTACAGTATGTTTCCACTAGCTAACAATCCAATATCCCATCACGTGTTTTGATATTCACGAGTGAATGACGTGTTTCTCTGATGAGTGTACTTGTATTCATCTGTGATTGTGCTCTCTCTCCATGCTCTCTGCCTTCTGCAGATTCAGCCGCACACATAGTGTGTCAGATGACCCGCAGTAAGTTGTCCATTTACCACTCAGAGGCTAAGCTGTCTGGCTCAGCACCGCTCTGCACTACAAAACAATGCCCGCTCAATAACTCATTCAATCGTTCATTGAATGTTCAAATTGGATTTTTCTGTATGCAAGTGGGAAAATCTGCCAACGGTTCAAGTAATTTAAAGAAGTTTGTCGAAGCTATTGACAACAACTTCACGTTCTGACAGGACAGTTTATAGACGGAGGTGTTTTTGTTTGATTTAAGGTCACGTGAGCAATTATTTATTTATAATTTATGTTTGATGATCTTGTAGAAGAATGTACTGGTTCCCTGAGTACACTTACTCTTGCCAGGATTGAAAATCCTCTGAAATGGCCTCATGTGATACTTTAATCCTTCACTGAATGCCATTAATAAGTGCTTAATTTATTTTTGCAGCTCCCACACAAACATTTCTGGCAAAATTTTGAGTTGCATGAGATAAGTTCATTCATGCAGATTTCTCGAGGTGTAAATGTGAGTAAGTACAGTCAGTGAAGGCTGATGTATCATATTTGTTAGAAGATGATCTTGTATGATATAGGGCAACTTAGTCTTCTTTTTGTGGGAAAAAAAAAACTCTAAATGAAGCAGATTCTTCCTACTTGTATTACTTAAATTAAAATTACAACATAATAAGTTAATGACTTGTTATGGTGGATATTTTTTGACAGTGTGCCTTAACAGTGTCAAATAATGTCTCTTGCCATTACATCTGATCTGAAATATTGTGAAAATTTGTTGTTAATAAATCTAGTTGACATGCTTTTTGCCTCTTTGGCTGACAACAACCAGCTCCTCTCAGATTTATTAAAAGATGCTGTGGAGAGGAATTGATAAACTGTGCTGCTCCGACAACATCTTAGTGCTTCTGCCAGCTGCATGTTTCACAAACAGTAACACAACCATTTCATCCACCCTCCCAACATCCCATCCCTCACACAATAAATCATTACGGTAATGTCCTCTGCTGCTAAAAGCTAATGTAAAAAGTGCAGCTTTTCAGAAAGCAGGGGAGAGGATTCACAACCAGGAGATGACTCAAATGCATGTTTGTTTGAAAAGTTTTAATTTAGAGGAGCAGTAATGTATTAGCATTGCACAGGCTACAACCAAAGAAGACACCTGTTTCTTTACCCGCCCCACTGAGCAAAGCTTTTAAAATAAAATAACACAACAGTCATCTCTTCGGTTGAAAACACTCTCCTGCTATACCTGATAACTTTTGTATGTAAAATGCATCCATTTTCTGAGTCTTAAAAAGAAAAACAGTTACAGTAGAATATATATAATGATTTTACTCATTCTAATTCTGTGATGAGCTGCATGCTCCTAACACAAAGGCTGCACTTTACTGTCTTGTCTGTAATCTAAAAATGGATGCTTTAACATTACTGCTTGAACAAAAATGAAGACCAGTGTCAACTGTCTGTAACAAATCTTTTTCTGTATGAAGACCACACTGGTTGTTGCATCTTTCACATCAGAATGTTACTAAAAAAACTTGCACCTGAAGCTGATGTTTAAAAGGTGTCATTAAACGGCATCTTAACGTCCTTAATGTAATGCATTTGGTTGAAACAAATGTTGGAATGTAACATGAATCAATATGGGATCACTCAAAAGAACAAACCAAAGAAACATTACTTGTTGCTTCTGAAACGAATTGTAAATATATACATGTATAGATTCCAAAATCCAAGGTATACCTACAGGGTGAGCATCAGGTTACCTTTGAAAATGGACATATGTGGTCTGAAAAGGATACATCCTACTGTATTTTGGTATCTGTACTGAGGTTACAGGTTACTCTGTTTTCCTTACAGTGATGAATTGATACAAATTCATTTTTACGGATGATGTGTTTGCTTTGATACTGCTGTATAAACACAGATTTTGGGTGATATATTGCCCTTTTAGTGATTGCTATATTTTAGAGGAGGTTAGGTTCAAAGGTCAGTGTTTTTACATGAGTGTATAAAACAAAAGACATGAACATATGTACTGACAGTACAATGTACTGAGGGCAATGCATGGACTCACTAGCAGCCTTAAAGACTAAGCATTTTATGTTTTTGAAATGACATGTCAAAATATATTTTTCATCATCTATATTCTCCGTCTGTCTCCCTCTCTCTCCTCAGGAGTGTGAGTATGATCGACATGCGTGGTGAGGAGGAGGCCATCTTGCAGCCTCACAGTCAGGTGCGTCATGAACTGATGCACAACCAGTATAACAGGATGAAGGAAGAAGACGATCACTGGCAGGACGTGAGTGTCTCAGATTTGTCTGGTTTTATGTTACTATTTTTATTTCTCCTAGCCTGTGTGCATTTATGTATTTTTGATTAGGATGATTTTTTAATGCCTTTGAGCCGGCGACAGCCGCAGCCGGAGGCATTATGTTTTCGGGTTGTCCGTCTATCCATCCCGTTCTCGTGAACGCTATGTCTCAAGAAGGCCTTGATGGAAATTTTTTCAAATTTGGCACAAACGTCCACTTGGACTCAGGGATGGACTGAAAAGATTTTAGTAGTCAAAGGTTAAGGTGACTGTGACCTCACAAACATAAGAACATTGGCCATAACTCAAAAAATGTATACGCTAATCAAAATTAAACAATAAAATGTCTTAAAAGAAAAGAACGATGAAGTGATAACATTTTTTATCCAAAAGGTCAAAGGTCAACCTCACTGTGACATCATAATGTTCTGCAAAAACACTTATCTGATCATTATTTAACATTATAACTCGGAAATAGAAGGAGAGACATTTGGTCAGATTCTGAATTGGTGACGCTAATCTTGTGTCCACCTTGAAACTGTGCTGATGGCATAGATCTTCTTTGCTGCCAGGTTGAAGAAGCATTTGGCTTAGAATTTGTAGCTTCTTTGCAGCAACATCCATATTTGAAGAATCGCGCTCTGTCATGGCTACAGTTTTGTGTTATGTCCTGTTCCTGTGGTAGCCCACCACAAGCTTATTGGTTTGGCTGATATTGAGCTTCAGGTGATTGTTGTTGCACCATGTTACAAAGCTATTTATTAGTCCCATGTACTCCTCTGGAAATTATTCTTAAAAAGCATATTTGTCAATATAGTGATCATTTTTATTTTGCCAAAAAGATATATTAACTTTCTTCAAAGTCTTCAATACATATATGAGTCTGGACAGACATGAATGTTAACTGTAACTTGACTAGTTGGCGGAGGCATACAACCACAAGGCAGTAATTCTAGTTTTTGTTTTGAATTTGTTTCTGGATTTAGATTACTTTTTAGCTCCCTTTAGAATCTGCACAGTTTGTATTTCTTCTCTCCATTGTGTCAAGAGTTTATATACAGTGATTTGAGTGCCTGCAGTCCAAAGCACAAACTCCAGTAATCTTTTGCTGTGCCCCAGTTAAACAACTTAAATCAGTTTTATAGGGCCACAGTAGCGCTTCAGGTCTCATAACGCTGCTGAGCCAAGCCCTCTCGCCTTGTTTCACTTGGAAATGAAAAACTTCCAATCTGTTTTTGTGTCAGGACCTGGCCCGATGGAAAAATCGGAGGAGGAGTATTTCCCAAGACCTGATCAAGAAGGAGGAGGAGAGGAAGATGATGGAGCGGTTGATGTCGGGAGAAAGCTGTGTCTCTCAGAGGAGGAGAAGCATCAAGACCTACAGAGAGATAGTGGAGGAGAAGTAGGTGAAATACTCCCAAACCAGATGTTTAGTTTGTGTTCAGCTTAAAAAAAATACCAAAGCTGTATGTACAAAACACTAGTATTATGGAAAACTTCCTAGAAAAGAGAATTAAATGTTTATTTTAATTGGTGTTAGTGGGCACAAAGATGACAGCAACTCCTCCTGAGTTCCTTTAACAAGTTGGTCTCCCACAGAGAAAAAGAGGAGGAAGAGCAGGTCTGCTCATTTCACAGTCAAATAGATGTAGAAGAATTATAGTTTGGGGATGTGGGCAGCACAGTGGTTCAGTGGTTAGCATTGTCACCTCATAGCAAGAGGGTTCCTGGTTCGAACCCGTGGTGGAGGGTTCGAACCCTGTGGTGGAGGATACAAACTTCCATGCAGAGTTTGTATGTTCTCCCTGAGTCAGCATGGGTTTTCTCTGGGTACTCCAGCTTTCTCCCACAGTCCAAAGACATGCAGGTTAATTGGTGACTCTACATTACCTGTACTTGTGAATGTGAGCGTGAATGGTTGTCTGTGTCAGCCCTGCGATAATCTGTCCTACTCAGACTAACTGGCCTTAGATTAGCCGAAATGACTGGTGTACGGAGGAGGAAGTCTTGGTCTGGATATCTGCTGGCTACAAATCCCTCGGATTATTGGCTCTTGCCTCCAGAGGGTTATCATCACCAGAGTGATAGACATTTTACGTAGCTGTTTTGTTTTTATCCTTTCTGTACCTCCTCTCATCTTAAACAGGGAGCGTCGTGAGGATGAGCTGCGGGACGCGTACAGGAGAGCCAGAACCCCAGAAGAGGCAGCAATCATCCTCCAACGTTACGCCCAACGTTTCTCCATCAGTGAAGCAGTCCTGGAACGCCTACACCTGCCAAAGCTCCTGGACCGCAGCATATCTGCTGATCCCTCCTTTCCCCCATCAGCTTTCCCTCTCTCCCTCTCCCTGTCCGCCTCCCCAACAACCCCAGACCCCTTCGACATGGACCCCAACGGGCCCATGAGGTATCTGCGCCAGCAGTCCGCCCCGGCTCCGAAGTTCACGTCCACACTGGAGGCGCGAATCGAGGAGTTTCCCAAAGACTCCTCACACCAGCGGCCTCAGATTCGCTCCCGCTCATCTGAGCCGCCATCCAACCGGAATCTGTCGCCCAAACCGGTGCCTTTGCTGACACCCAAGCCTTACTTCCAGTCACGACCCACAGCAGCTGACCCATGGCCCAGTAAGGTGAGACTGACTCTGAAGCACTTGTCACTTAGTAAAACTGAACACATTATTGCTGCTATAATATGCTTTACAGCATCCTCCAAATGCCACGTGGGTTGCTGCCTTTTCATGTGTCACAGTAAAATCTCTGCACTAGTATACACCCCACAATGTGAACTCTTTTTAGCTTCCGAACATGGTGATGATTAAGTTGTCTCCATACACACATGAAATGATTGAGATTTTGGTTAACCACAACAGTCCTGCAGTGGGCATGGTTGAGGTCTTGACCACTTTACATGTGGTTACATTCCCGTGTTGGCTGCCCTCCTCACAGACTGGTGGGTAAATTCCCCTCCAGCTCTCTTGGCAGTTACATTAGAATGCCACAGAACCACCATGGTGATGAGCCTGGCTGGTTTCAAGGAGAACGCAAGACATCCCCTCCCAGAAGAAGCATGTAATGTTTCAATTTAGCTCAAAGTACTCTCAACAGGATCCATTTCCTTTTCTTCTGGAAAAATCTCCAAATGGGAATTATTCAAAATGAGATCTTGTTTTTTGGTGTGGCGGGGAGGGAGGGGCAGATTATTACCAGACCAAATGGAGCACAGCACTTTTCTGGAATGTCTTGTCAGGAGTCTGAGCGGAGCCCAGCTTTGAATGGAGCCCTCTGTTCCCTATTGACTTAAGAAGTTGACAAGTAGGGCCCTCTCAATGTGAAGTGGGCTCCCAGTGGACAAAGAGGGCCCACACAGGCTGCTAGGAGAGGGTTGAGGAGGTGGAGGCGGAGGGGGGCAGACTGAGAGCCTGCATTCACCCAGCTCCACCACTGTGTCTTAAGTTACCGCTCACTAGGAGCTCCTCACACATACATTAGTGCCTCTTTGTCATAGAGGCCAGCATGGTGTTGTGAGCTAGATGAATAGCTAATAACGAACAGAGATGCGTGGCTGGTAATGACCACAATTGAGGGCACTGGGTTTGTAGGCATGGGGTTTATTTTAATGTCTTTGTTTATCATCAGTTAATTTTATTCACTACTGAAAATATTTTGAGCTATATATTTTTTGAGCCTGATTGTAGCAGAATTTCAGGTAATGTTTCACAAATATAAACATTTTTTTAATCTACTAAAGTTATATATTATCAGTTAAGACTGGAAAATGACAGAATTTGACAAATTATAGACGATATTAATCTGACACAGATGTAGACATACTCATATAGACTCAATTTTTATCAAATAATTCAAAATCGCTTGGGAGTAAACAGAATAGCAACCATTTCCATTTAAAGAGTCACCCCAGAATGAAAAATATTCATTTTTCCTCTTACCTGTATTGCTATTAATCAATTTAGAGTATTGGAGATATCAGCCGTAGAGATGTCTGCCTTCTCTTCAATATAATAGAACTAGATGGCACTCTCTTCCCAGAAAGCATGACCTGGTTACTTAAGATAATCCACAGACCTTGTTGTGAGCAGTTTCATGTAGGAACTATTTTGTTTCTACCAAACTACACCCACCTTCCATATCAACACACAGGCTCGTGCACATGGCAGTGCAAGATGTAAACATTAATGGTGTCCTCCTCGGCTGAGCTGTAATGTTAGCTAGCTCAGTGGTGCTAGATGAGTGAGCAGTAGATGCACGCTAGCAAAATACAGTTTTCAAATGTATTATTTTGAAGATAGACATCTCTACAGCTGATATCTCCAGCACTCAGCAACTCATTCCAAAATAATCTAGATCAGTGGTTTCCAGTTCGTGGGGTTCTGGTCCAAAAGTGGGTTACGGGTATATTCTGAATGGACCACAAGTGACTCATGAATGTGTCAAGTTTGTATAAAACACACTTTATTTTGACGTACAGTGAATTTCCAGCACTGTGTTTTTATTTTGAAGTACTGTTTCCTGCTGGAGAGTGAGTGACTAATGGACAGCTACCTGACAGAGACAGCAAACTAGGTTGGTGACACAGCCAAACGCCAGTATGACCCTGAATATATTAAACTGTGTGGACCTTGAACTAATGACTAAGGAGAAATCTGGACCCTGTGGCTGGACCAGTTTGGAACCACTGCTCTAGATTGACAAACAGCACTACAGGCAAGAGGAAAAAGATGTATTTTTAGGTTTTGGGTGAACTGTCCCTTGAAAGAGTCGGCCCATTGTCAAATTCAAATCCTCAACTGATCATGTTGTAATTAATCTGAACAAGCATCTCAGAAGTGGGCTGGATTATTAAAATAATGCCTGTATTAATTTATCATGATGTAGATTTTTGGGCAAATCATCTAACTCCAGGGCGATGTACTGTCTGAACATAACATCTGGTTACCTTTTGATGTTTGAACTCTGCAGTGCATTTTTAAAGCCAGTATTAAACCTGTTCTCTTCTGATCTAGACGGATGGTTTGCTCCGAGTCAACGGTGACATAGGGAGTGACGACGTTCCCGCCACGCCCGAGAGTCAAGGAAGAGAGTCTCCTCCTCATTTCGAGGCATCCCCTTCTAAAACCAGCAACAGCACTGTAGATGCTCCGTCGTCAGCCTCACCAACACACACCTCAACCAGAGGAGAAAGCCCCGTGTCAACAAAGGCCGAGGAGGCACCAAGTGCCACAGAGGCGGCTTCGCAGGACGTGCAAGAAGAGAAAGTCACTGAGCATTCGACGCCACCCAGCCGACCCACCTCACTCCCATCGGTCAGGATTAAGATCTTTTATAGCTGATTACAATAAAACCTAAATATAAAATCTAAAAGAAATTAAAAATAGGTAATCAGTGTGCCAGAAAGATTATTTAGCCAAGTTTATGTAACTAATGGGACTAATCAAGGCTGGGAACCTAAATTTTTGTGCACTGCATCAGCCTCTTAATTTCAGGCTTGTTTATGTTGTTTTATAACTCAACATTGAAACCATCTATGAACCTTTTATAGGAGCTGCAGAAGCCAGAAGAAAGCTTTGGAAAGACTGGGAGCCAGTCAGTAGCTGCTACAGAAGAGGAGACATCAAATGCTGCAGCTCAGCAAAGGTCACCTGCAGGTCTGAACAGCATGCCGCTATGCTGACCCCTTGTGGTCGCTCATAGTTTTGTCATGACGAGTCAAGGTTTATTATAAAGTGACCTCGACTTAGTTGAAAACGCAAAGAAAAATTGTCTTTATTTTTCTGTTTTTCAGATGATTTTTACAGTAGGGATAAAACGATGTTGTCATGTCTGTTTTCAGAAGCCAAACAAGAACAAAAAAAACCTGAACCATCAGGTCAAAACATTTCCAACCTTGTCCAGTCAGGAGTCAGCACGCAGCAAAGTCAGCCAGTAGTTTCACAGGTGAAGCTGCTAACCAAACTAATATCAATAATTTTGTCACCAAACATCCAAAGAAACAGTCACCCAGCCATCTAACAGATAATCTTTAAATCTCCCTGCAGGCGAGTGCTCTCAGTTCCCAGGAGTCGTCACTGAGGAGAGAAAATGTACCAAGCTTAGCTGCACCAGGATCATTTGAATATCACCCACCAAGGGAAACAACAGCAGGTTAGTGAACTCTTTACATCCAAATACCAGCCAGCAGAAGCTTTTCCATACATCTCCTTGGTTTCTCAGTTTGATTAGCATATCCTCCTTGCTGGCTTTTTTCCCTTTTGCTTTTCAGCCTGACACTCTTTCTGTTTTGTTGTAGTGCAAGATGTTTGAATCAGAGTTTAAGAGGCCTCCAATAATGTGATTATTTTGGCACCCTGCACAAACTCCTGCTTCACCTTTCTCATCTGCTCAACAGACAATAATCTCTAATTGGCACTTACACTAAAGTCCCCTGTTCACTTTTCTCCCAACAAGAACATGATTGAAAGAGGTTAACTATTGCTTTTCCACTGCTTTCTTTTTATTTTCTGTCTTTATTCTGACTTTTTGTCCTTCAAGTTAAGATTTCCTTGAAATTACAGTCAGGTAGAAAACATGCTGAGTTTTTACTAAATCTGAATAACAACCTTTTTAAAGTGGAAACAGACAACTTTTCCTCCCCCAGTGTTTCCAAAGCCTCTTTCCCACTACACCAAAAAAACACAAACAGCCGTTAACATCTGGCTTTTGTATTTTATGGGAAATTCACTCCCGAGACAAATGAATGCAGTAGTCACCTGTATTTATAATCTCCAGCTTCGATCTGTTTCCTTCGCTGCTGATGGAAGCAGATGGCCCGCGCAATGCAATGACAGGCCGCCAGAAAATACCGTTCATCTCCCCCCAAGCAGAACTAGAACATCATTCAAAACTTGGTCAGCACCAGGTTTGAAAAAGAGACTGAATAAGTAAAAGATATTAAACAAAAGTAAATGCCATAACATTTTTACTGGCTTGCTGCTTTCTACTGTTTACTAACCTGTTTTCCGGCCCATCAGATACGTCAGATGTGACACACCAGTAAGAAAAAACCACACACACTGAAAGGCACATTTTTCTCCTGCAGGGCCATGTACACGGCTCTGGTTGACTGGCAATTGGAAAAGAGTCTTTCACGTTTTAAGCAGGTTTTCCCATTTTAAAAAACCCCAGGTACACAGGCTAATTTTGGTGGGATAAGGGTACAAGTGGTATTATTGTTGCCGTCGCTGCTGTTGCAAAATCAACCACATCGCTTTTCCTCAGAGCCTAGCGACTACCACAGTTTTCACAGTTACTTCTGTTGTTCCACCATCCACCATTTTCGCTACTGGGGATAGTAACTGCAAAGAACCTGCATTGATACTCTTAAGTAACTGGGGATAGGTTTGGGGAAAACAAAAGCGCTATTTGCTTGTGCCACGGTAGATGCACCTCCTTTGTGCTGTAATTCGAGCCCTTGTTTTCCCTTAAGATTAAACATGCTGGCACACAGAATTACATATTGAAAGCAAAGCTTAAGGAACCAATGTGAACCCAGATGGTGTCATTATGCTATAACCATTACACTGTGCTGTCAACATTATTTCATAATGATTAGGTAAAGAAAGAAAATGTCTGTTTTCACTTTAAAGACTTGATATTGTTCTTCCATTTACAGTTAAATTAATCTACAGTATTACAGGAGCAGAACTGTAAAAGCCTCCCCCAGTTCTCTGATGTCCATACCAACACCTGGTTTTGACATCTGTCTTTCCCTTATCACTCCCCCTCCCTCCTTTCCTTCCCTCCTTTCCTTCCACCCACACATTTTTTTTATTTCGCTATAGAGTTTGCAAACAGTGTCAGGTCTCCACTGGCAACCAGCAATCCTAAGTTACGCTGGGAGTTCTTCGTTCCACCAGGTAAACCCCCTTTGTTCGTCGGTGGAGCTCATGTTTCCGTCCCCGGGTGCTGAACGCACAGGGTTTCCCTGCCGTTTATTCAAGGGCTAGACAACAGCCCTTTAGTCCCATCTCTTGATTTTCACTCATTTCCAGTGTTGTTGATGATGAGAGACATAGTCTTTCTCTGTTGTAAATGTTTACAATGGTGTACCCGGGGTAAACTCCTCTGTGTGATGTCATGGTTAAAGAGTGTATGTTGTTTTAAGTCATACCAGTATCATCTTGTTGAGTAGGATGCACAGTCTCTCCAAAATGTCCAGTGAAGAAGGTCACCTACTGTATGACGGTTTATGAAAATCATAATGGTAACCTGCTTAATTCATGAATGATCAGTTTTATGTTTATGTGTTTATGTCAGTGTGCTTTACCTTGCTATACTTTCCACCAAAAGCTACATGAGGTCTGCTTCAACATCTGAATCAAAAAAGTTTTAATTTAGAGCTTTATACATCAAAACATAAATACAACACAATGACTGAAGGGCAACAGAGTATGTTGCTTTTGGTGGACTGGTTTTACTGTCACTGCTTTCTCTCTGTTTATTCTTTCATCAGCATCTTTCATCTTTACTTCTCAAAGGGATAGTTCAGTTTGGAGAAGCAGCCAGGAGTACTGCCACAGAAACTATGCAATGTACTGCTTTGTATGGGGGCTGTAGCAAAACACATTTTAGCAAACTAAAAAAGTCAGTATTAATTTAAGTGTACGCTATATTGAGAATATTTTCACAACTTTACCTTGCTGTCAGACAGCACTTTCTGACAGGGAACTGAAAATGTTATCGACACTCTCTTCAAAACCAGACTCTATTGACAAAATCAGTAATTTTACCTTGTAGTACCACTGCCTTAATTAGTTAGTTTGTTTGTGTAGGTCATACACTGACTATAGATGAGTACCTCATACAGCCCCACTTCAAAAAGTCTGAACTATCCCTTCAGGTTGTCAAACCAACAATTTGCTTGTTGTCATTTTCCTAAATATTTATCCCATTAAAAGGACTTTAATTTGATGTTAAATTGTATTTTAACTACCATTCTCTCTCACATTTCCTTTACAGAAGAGAAGGAGAAGGATCGCCGTGGAAACGTGAGTAAAAAGCATCATCTGACTACAACAGTATTTTGTGGTCAGACCCTGAAAAACCCTTTTACTGCTTCTCATCTGGCTTATCTCCTGGGTTACAGTAGTGTAGTTTATCAGACTGCATGTACACAGAGATAAAAACAGAAGTCAAATGCTGAAAACCTTCAAATGACTTAAAGCTGCAGATAAGATCAAGTTAAAATCAGCAGGTACCTTATAAAAAAATCTTTCATCTCAATAGAAACATAACCTTGACCATGAAAAAGACTGCCTGCATCTTAAACTTTTATCATGTCTGAGATTAGTTTTTAGTGCAGTTTTGTGAACTCACTGTCGTACTACGACACTCTACTGCATATCAGAGGACACACAGAGCTGTTAATGTAGCATGCCAGATGAGGATGCTGTAGAAAACGGCCGAGACTGCTTTCGTTTTCATTTGAGCTCATCTGTCTCTTTCTCTGTCTTCTCTCTCCTTAGTAGGAATCCTTTGGCTAGCATTGGAGTAGTGCTGTTGTGGTAGACCAACTATTTCTGTCTCCTCCCTTCCCTTCTTCTTTTCCTGTGGTGGATGTGTGTGCTCGGTGTGTTTGATTGTGCGTGCGTGTCGGGGCCATATCAATTTAATGGTCTCATTGGCGTCACGGTTGGGTGAGATTGTGCGTGATTGTGTGTGAATGGTGGGCGGTTTGTGGGTGCGAATGTGTGCATGAACATCTGTGTGCCGTGCGTATTTGTGCATGTTGATGCGTGTATGTGTGTGTGTTTGTGTGTGTGTTTGTGTTGGGGTCTATCAGGTGTCAGTGCCGGTGTTGCCCCAGGCCAAGCGGGCTGACCGCTGGTCTTGGGACCCGGATGAGGAGCGAAAGCGTCAGGAAAGGTGGCAGCAAGAGCAGGAGCGCATGCTGCAGGTACACAGTATACCTCAAAGTGTAAAGCATGACGCATGAGTCTGCAAGGTCAGGGGTTCAGTTCCTTATGGAGGTTAGGGCGTAGAGAAGACAGTGTAGGATCAGGTGTAGAGCAGACTTTCAGTTGTAAGTATATACTGAGTTTCAGCAGCTGAGTGTACAAACAAGTCCTAGGGTAATAAGTAACTAGTTGAAGTAAACCACAGCCCATAGACAAAAAGATCTTTCAAATGAACATGTGAAGGTTGATATTTATGGCACCTCACACTCTGCTACAAACTGCAAAAATGTTTTAAATTGTTGTCTTTATGTTATTCAAACACATAGCTGACTTACAAGTTCAGCTATGTGTTTGGCAAGCTCTACGTGCTAGCTTTATTAGCCCATTTGCGCTATAGATGCAGTTAACATGATAGTTTGCTATGTAGCATTCAGCAGCTGCGACTTTTATCAGGCTATGACAACATGTGTGTCAAACTCACCAAAGGTGTATGTCTTGTGCAACAGTGGATAATCTTTTGCATGCATATACATAGTATACGTAGTAGAACAGAGTCTCTCAGGGCTTTCTGTTATTGACTATAATTAAACCTTTAGTCTCTTAATTGGCCTGGAGTTTACAATGCATCTCAATAGGCACAGCAGGTCAGTAGCACGGCCCACATGATTGAATTTGGGTCAGAAATGCTTTAGATTAAAGCCAGTTGCAGAGGCTGTATTTACCACGACTTGTTGACAAATAAGCTGCATATGAGTTAATGCATCAGTCTGGCATTATATCCCTGTAAGTACTGATTGGGTGATAAAAAGTAGTGTATAAAAAGATCTGTGGGCTTTTAAAGGGCCAGTGTGTAATATTTGGCATGGTTTATTGTCAATCTGAATCTGAATCTGAATATTCTACCCATTAATATGTTTATATAGGTGTATAATCGCTATAAAATAAAATTCGTTTGGTTTTCGTAGCCTTATAATTATGCTTTTATATATATGTATAGCAAGGGCCTTGCTTTAGAGAGGTCGCCATCTTGTGCCGCCATGTATGTAAGGCAGACCAAGCGGACGATCCAGCCAGCCAGAGAACGCGTTTCGCCAGAGATATTGGATGAAGGGAGATACCCAACTGTAGGCTTATCCAGTGTTAAGAAAACGGTTACTCTTCCTGTCTCCTAAGTGGGCGTGGTTAGCTCTCCCTCCAATCAGAGCCTGTTCTCCCTCAAGATGTGTGGCTTGTGGAAAATGAACCCAATATTTACTTTAGTGACTACAGGGCGAAAGAATTGACCATAAATTGTGATCACGTTCATTTTCCTCATTGACGTCACTGAATCAGGAAGTGAGCTGAGTTGGGTATCTCGCTTCATCCAATATCTCTGGTTTTGCGTGTATAAATGAACCAACGAAGACAGCGGAAGGAAGGAAGAAGGAGGAGGAAACAGCAGAGAGTGTTAGTAGTTCGTCGATAGAGAGTAGTGAAAAGTTTTTTTAGTTATAAAGTTTGCGAATGGACCACACTTACCACGCAACAGGAGAGAATGAACCCGAACCGTCATCTGCGAGGAAAAGAAGACGCAACTTCACTCCTTGTGATGCACTCTCTGCTGCGCTTTTCCTCCTGATGATATATCTCCCCAACGATGGTAGCACCAAATCCCATTCTGTGCATTCAGCCTCTCTTCTCGCCTGCTCAGCATCAAACACATGGAGTTCCTCATCTGTATGCTCCGGCTCAAACAGGTATGGCTCTGGGTCTGTGTCCGCTACAAGAAACTCTTCAAAATAGCGTTCAAAGTCGTCCATTGCAGCTACTATAGTCCGGAGATATTGCTAGGCTAAATAAACAGCTGAGCTCTGTTTACAGGCTACACTGTCAGTCAGTGTGCGGGCTGGAGATTGAGCAGGGAGGGGAGGGGGTCCCCACTCGGTGTGGTAAACAAGTATGTGTATGAAGTGTGTGTGTTACTCTAGAAGAGTCAGAGTTTGGGACGGAGTCTTTTACCCCCTGGAGTGTTACCGGAGTTTTTGGAGTGCTCAAATAAACTGGCCTTTTTCCCGAACGCTCCTCTGGTCTCCTGCTCATGAGGGATTCATTACAATATTGTAACATGGTTTAGATTTCTAAATAAATATTCACCTCGTCGCTAGATAGACCTACTCCTGAAAAACTCGTGCGCAAGTCTTTTTGTCCCTACAAGGTCACCGTCATTTACCCGACAGGAGGGGTGAGCTAGTGAGCCCTGCAATCAAGAATTTGACCACTGATGTCACTGTTTTCAACCCATTTTACACACTGGGCCTTTAACTTATCCCCAAGGACAGTTTTTTTTGGTCATCTAGTTAACATCAGAGCTGTCTTATACAACATTTCAGTGTGGGTTCGAAGTAGATTTTTAACATATAGTCAATAATAGCTTATAAATAAGGAACAAAAAGGTTATATGTAACCTTAATGTCCAAAACCTTTCCCTTGACCTTACTGTATAACATACAGTAGATGTCTGTCGGCACACTCCCAGTTTGGAGAAGCAGCAGGAGTGATGGGGAAGCAGTTAACAACTTCAGTTCCCCATATATGCTCTCGTCAAAGCCACCAGACTCCTTTGACAACAAACATAAGTTTGGTTCACTGAACAAAGGAGCTGCTGGTTTACTGCTGCCTCGATCAGTTAGTTTGTTTGTGTTATTGTGTGACTTTGATGACACATAAAAGGGTTCTTTTATATACTAAAGTCATGCAATAACAGTAACAAACTCACTGGTCCAGGCACTGGTAGACCAGCAGCTTCTGTGTTCAGCAGTGTTAAATCATGTTTTTTCTCAATGGAGTCTGGTTCTGAAGAAAGCAATGTAACAGCTTCAGTTCCCTGTTGGAAATTACTGTTAGAAGGCAAGGTAAAGAGATGAAAATATTCCAAATATAAACTGATATTGATTTTTTCAGGTGGCTAAAATACGTTTTGTTGCTGACCCCTCCACAGCAGTACATTGCTTAGCTTCCACGTCAAACTCCAGCCTGCTTCTCCAAACTGGGGGCGTGCCGAATGACATCTTCTGTATGTAATACACTGACTGTGGATAAGTTCCTCATACAACCCCATTTGAAAAATCTGAACCCTTAAAAACCAGTTTTAACACATATGTTAAGCCACAAATTTGGATACTTTTATGTGTACCAAACCAGAGTGAACTCACCATGCAGTGACACAGTCAGCTGCTGTGTGACAGCCTGTGCTCAGCTCAGAATCAGATGAATTAACCACATTTCACTGCTACTTGCAAAGCTTGCCTCCATGTTTGTTTTATATTGAGCATATCCTCCTCCGAAGGCACACCCCAGCCACTCCTGTGCACACTTTGACCACTAGAGGGCGATTTTGTGCAGTAGAAGAACCTCCGGTTTGGTTTTATCTGCTCGCTGTCTCCATCTCATGCACATAGACAGACGAGGACTTTGTCCAAGGTTGCTGCTGTTGCTGCTGCCCAAATCACCCTCTCTCTCCTCAACCAATCAGAGGTGCATCTCAGGTCCACATATTTAAATATTTAAAGGATTCATTGGTATCCATGACATACTGTACTCATCAGTAGTGTAATCCTGATAATAAATCTCAGTGATGAGTACAAATTTATCTTGTTCCCGGTTGACTGTTTGAGATGAGATGCGCTGAAATGGATGAATGTTTGGTGCATCAATGTGCTTGTTATCTCCCTGGTTGACTCTGTGTCGTCTCTGTGCCTTGATCTTGGTCTGCCATCTGTCTTGCTTAAGATGCTTTCTCTCTAAATCTTGGATCTTTATATTCTGCCTTCTTTTGTTCCTACACAAGTCTGAAAAGATTAAAAAAAATAGTATCATGTGGTTTGTGCTTGTCTAGAATAATCTTACATGTCAGCAGGATGTCATCTTTCCTGTGGTCATGTCACCCATACTCACTATGATAGTATTGTACATCAAGGAAAAACTTAAATTCAGTCATAAAAAATTGAAGGCGGCTTTTGAAATGGAGATTGTGTAGGAACCTCTGCATGCTCTACTTTTGCCTCACGTCCGCATTGCCTGCTTCTGGTCTCTTATGTTTGCTTTTTATCCCTAACACGCAAATATCCGATCTGAGCAAGTGTTAAGACACAACAGAGGAGTAAGCTACCTTTGCACTCACTGATGTCTCTAAGCCAAGGCTCACATTTTAAGTACACACTGAGGGAATCCCACATGGATGCTTTACTGAGTCTGCGAGTTATTCCAGCAGGATTTACAGGTCTCAGTACCTTTCTGAATTAAATCAAGTAGGATGCACCAGGAGAGAATTTTTTCATTGACTGATTTAGACTTAGACTCTCAGAGCCCTTTTGATGCCACATATGTCTGCGCATCATCTCTGTTTTCCTGCCAAAATATCCACCTGCAGAGAGTTTAGTCTTCGTTTTCGTTGAGGCTCTGTGCTGTATGTCATGTGTCTGTTGCCATGGTAACAGGAGAAGTACCAGCGTGAGCAGGAGAAGCTGAAGGAGGAGTGGGAGAGAGCACAGAGGGAAGTGGCGGAAGAGGAGAGGAAGTACCATGAGGAGGTGTGTGCGTGTTAATGCTTGAGGGTAAATGTTGGTAAATGTTGCGCCTTTGATGTGTTTGACAATTTGACGCGGATAATTTTTGACTGGATGAGATCACCAGTTAAATGTATATGTGTGCATGTGTTATTTTAAAATCAGAGAGAAAAGTGTATTTGCTGACTGATAAACTTCACCCATAACGGTACGTAATGTGTTGCTGATAACTCACCCAGTTCTCCCATCAAAACAGGAGCGAAGGATACTGGAGGAAACTGTAGCGCCTCTGACTCCCCGCTCCTCAGCCCTGCCCTCCCCCAGCCGAGGGGAGATCTCCTCCACCTCAGAGCCCCAGGACACCATCGTCCGTTCGCTGGCCGACTGGGAACGCAAGCAGGAACTGCTGGAGAGGCAATCGGTGAATGACTGATTACAGATAGTTTGTTAGAAGCATGTGTTAATTTTGTGTGAATTCAGGAGGGTGACAATTGGTTAGAATGACTTGAGTGGGCACAAGGTTCTTTTTTTGATTGGTTGTTCAGCTAACTGTTCCCTGTTTCTGATTGGACGCTCAGAGGGGGAGCACAGAGAATGTCGAATGGAAGCGGAGAGAAAACGACAGGACCAGTGACATCAGCACTGCTGACGACAGCATGAAGACAGGCAGAAGGTTAGTGTCACATTTTAGACGTTTTAAACTGGCATCCTAAGCAACAGTGACATAAAATGAGGCCTTAACGTAACAAGGTTTATTTCCAGTCATGGGAGAAACGTGTGTTAGAGGATGGAAACTTTAGAGAAGAATAAAGAAATAGATGTACCCCCTTATAACTTACAAAACGGCTCTTGTCATGTTTAAGTTTAATGTGTCACCTATATACTGTGCATGTCATTGTTTTGATTGTTGTGTATCTGCAGCTTTTCTCTCAGCTCAGCTCAATCATAAAATAATACTGTAGACCTTATTGGAATCAGTCAAGCAGTCAAATAACTATGCAAGCAAAAGCAGACAGTAGGATTAATTTCAACATGGCTTGTTTCTGATCCTCAGCTCGATGAGCAGCAGTCAGGTAGAGACAGTCGGTCACAGTCTACAGAACGGACAAAAACAGCCGACCAAAACCTCGACTCCAGTGAAGAAGCAGGAACAGCCTTCAGCAGACAGCAACAAGCCCAGCCGGCCTGCAGGAGACAGGAGGTGTGTGAATGTGTGTGAGAGGCCTTCAAGTCCAGAGCTTAATCACTTTCAAATTTGCATCCATTTGTCTCATATATAATGAGTTGAGAGTGTGGGGCACAAAACTAACCAAGCACAGGTTACAGCACCGTTATGCACCCATTATCAAAATAGAGGTTATCTTTCAATGACCAATAATGACTTAAAAAGAAGGTCCACTGTTGGTGTCATGGCTGTGAGATGTTTTTTCATTGGTTGGCTGTAAGAAGGAGTCTTTTAGTAACACCTTCAGTTCACCTGTTTGACCAGCAGGTGGCATGTTGTATCTATATTTCCCCCCCATATTCATCCTCAACATAAAGAAACAACAGTCTGCGACACCACAAATGTTTTAAACATTCATTTGAATCAGTAACACATAACTCTGCATTTTAAAGGATAGAGTAAGTGGATTTTGGCCAAACATTACTGAGTAGATTTTGGTTTTTCAGCTTGTTCTGTCTCGGATTGGTTTCATGTCTGACTGTGGCAGCCAATAGAGTCGCTGTAGCTGTGAGTCATCATCATGTTGCATGTTGCTGTCCATTTCCAGGAGTGGTCCCATTGACAATAACATGTGCCGCAGCTCATCAAAACCCCCCGCAGCATGTCCACCACCTTCAGACACACTGCCTCCAGCACCCAACAGGTACTGCATCACAAACAGCCCACACGGAGGGAGAGAGGGGGGGCGTTCTTCATTTCTGCATTGTCATTTTCTGCTTTGCTGCCTACATTTCTCCACCCGCCTCATGACATGTACCACTGCAGCAAGGACCAGTGGATGCAGTGGGAATTTTAATCCCATATTTGGAAACAGACGAGTTTTTAATTTGTTTTGTTTCAACGATTTCTTTATTTTACAGTAAAATGTGAACATTACTGCAAATGTGCTAGTTGTCTAGAAATCCAGCTGCAGTCCCAGGTCATTAAAATACAATTATAATCACACAGAGTGCACAAAAAGACATTAGACAGACCCTGATGAACATTACAGAGCAACACAAACAACAGCAAAGACATAGAACAAGAAGCCAACAGAGAAAGTAGCAGAGAGCAGCAACAACAAGCCAACTTTTCTTCTATTTTTGTCCACTGTAGTCCACTGCAAGGACAGAGATGATGCAGAGGATGAAATCTGACCTTAGGTTCAGGATCTGTCATTGTGTACTGTGAAGAGACTTGCTGCTACTTCAGGTTTTGAAGCGTCATTTCAGTTGTGACTTATCAGCATTTCTGTATCTCTCTTCCTGTCTTCCTTGATTTTCCAGTAAAACCATACACTGACAGATGACCAGCTTATCTACTCTGCGTTTTTCTTTGATATTCACAGTGAAAATTAATGTGTACATGATTTACAGTCCCTGTCATGGGTGTTCTGTCTCCCTCTCTCTGCTGCAGGTCTGTCAGTGGGAAGAAGCTGTGCTCCAGCTGTGGGCAGCCGTTGGGGAAGGGAGCGGCCATGATCATAGAGACCCTAAGTCTTTATTTCCACATTCACTGCTTTAAGGTCAGTGACAGAAGATTCAGTATTACTCTACGTTTTGTTTAGTTTTATATTTATTTATTTAATTTATAGAAGCACATGCTACTGTATTTAAACAGTGATGTGTGTTGTGTAAATGCAGTTAAAGCACTAGGTGGGCGATGATCTGTATCATGTTCTCATCAACAAATCCCACAAAAGGACAAAACACAACAATTAGCTCATCGTAAAAACATCTTATCTGTGTATCCTAAGCATATTACTCCATGTTATAGAGCTCCGTCATTGTACAAAAACTATTAGATGAGTCACACCAGTACTGAGGCTATAAATTAAGGCTGGGACACGATGTCATATCATAGCAATGTCATATGCTATCATAATACATGGGGATGATTGATGTGTTTCAATGAGACGTCCACATTTGGCCTTTGGTTAGAATAGATTTTATACGAAAAATAAAGATATGAGTGAGAATTACAATTCTGCAGTTCTTGAAAAGATCTTAAATAAAACGCCATAAAAATTCTTTCTATTTGAAAATGTTCTGTTTTATATCGGCCTTTATCCATTCAAGTGTACCCAAAACATTCTGTCAGACCAAGCGCACCCAAAGAGCCTCTGAGTGGACACCATCCCTTTATTACCATCGCTGTCTGCTGTAACCCTCCAACATCACAGGTCCAGTTGCATTGTGCATGTAACACCCCATAGCTCCCATGGGGTCAAAGACTGTGTCCCAGCCTTCATTTAAAAGCGTTGACTGGTATTAGACGGCATGTTCCATCATTACAAGGAGCACTTTTGGAGTCAGTGCCATGAACACCCTCCCTGTATCAAAACTTGTATTACTGCGCTGCTGAAACTAGTCCCAGAGCAAATTTACTATTCCTATTTTGCATGCTTTTATAAAAGATTATGAAAATGAAGCTAATTGTTTTTGACATACAGTATTTTTAAGGAATCATCTCTATATTTTCAGTGAAGCGAATGGCTTTTTACCTGAGTGTCACATTCAAGACGAGGAAGTCGTAAAGCTATGAGAGAATAACTGATTGATGCTTTTCGTCGTTTCATGGTGTTTGTCGCAGTGTTTCACATTAATTACCTCCACTGTGGCACCCATTTCGGTTTAATTTGTCCCGCCACAGTTTCATAATAAACCAAAAATATTTTCACACTTCTCATAGTAACATAAAAGTCAGGTTTTGCGCTGTTGCTTCAGGATTAGCCAAGTTAGGTAACGTTAACATAAGCTAACGTTAGCTGTCAGTCTCCTCGCTTATTTAGACTGACATATCCATCTGCTTGTCATGAAAAACAAGGTGTAACATGTGTAACATTATATCTAGCTATCTACCGTTGGCTAATTAGCTAACGTTATCACCAGTGGCTCTGACGATGAAACTATTTTTAGCAATGCTTTAGGAGCAAGTTGGTTTATCATGTAACATTAGACTGTTGGTAATTTAATTAAGTTGAAGTAACATTGCTGTTTTAAGCTTAATGTTTGTGTCCTTGACCTGCTCTGTGGGTGTGACTTTTGCCACGTCATCGCCATTCATATCTATATCATATCTATCTATCCTATCTATACAGCCAATGTATTTATGATTAAATTGTATACAAGTGGACACAGTTCTCACTGATCTAGCCTCTCAGTTTTCCTCTTATAGAGTGCCAGATTTTGCGTGTAGCTTTGAAATGTTCTTGGACCCCTGTAGAAGGTTCGACATCCATCCACCACAGTCTCACAAAATCCTGTGGGAACACAGTTGTTGACAAATATATATGTGTCTATATATATATATATATATATATATATATATACTCTGTTTCTCTCTCCCTCTCTTCAGTGTGGGGTGTGTAAGGGACAGTTAGGCGACACGACCACAGGGACGGACGTCCGGATCAGAAATGGCCTCCTCAACTGCCATCAGTGCTACATCCGCTCCCGCTGTGAGTCCCTCCACCCTCCTTTCTCTCTGCCGGCTGTCTCTATAACAGCGTTTCCATCCATCCATCCAAAACATAACTGAATTATGAATGTCAGGTTCTGTCAGCTGGTTCCAAGCAAATCAACCACCATCATGAATATAAAACACAACCACTAGAAATAAATACTTTCCTGTTACATAATGCTCATAAAGAGAGAGTTTAATCATTCTCTGATATTATAAAAAGGAGAAGGTGTTGTTGCTCCTTATTGCTTAGTAATGTTGGCCATATTTCATATTTTCACTGATGAATAAATGCAGTTTTTAATAAGGTGATGGTGTTGTAGTACCAGCAGTAAATACGCTGCTCATAAACCGGGTAGAAGAACAGACAAATATTTGTTTGACTTATTGTTTTCAGAGTAAACTTTACACTGTCTTATGATAAGAAATCAAAGGTGTATTTCAAAGGTTTCATTCTTTATTGCAGCCCCGCTGTGCGGCTGATAAGACGAGTGTATTTTAATATAAGAATCCGACCCGGTGCAGCTTTAATAAAGAAGTGTCAGACACAGTGAAGCTTGGCTGAGCGGAGGGACGGATCTGAAGCTGCATCAGGAGGAAGAGAAACTGGTGATGTAGTCAGGAGAGGATGACAGTAACTTTCCATCCTTTTCACCTCGACTGCACAAGAGCAGGAGTTCATACTTTGTGAAAGACACAGCTGACGTTTAAATAACCCCTCAGCAGCTGTTAACATTTGTGGATCAGAGAACCACAGAATCAAATCAGAGCCTCAGTCAAAAGACTCAAACGTCATTATCTCAAATTAGGAGGTTTTCTTTCATTAGAGCTGCATGCACTTGACCTTAAAATCCACAACCAGAACAATTGTGGTTTATAAAATTGTGGGTTTCCTTCTCTTTCTTTTTCCTTTCAAGCGGCCGGACAGCCAACCACGTTGTGACGCTCAACAGGAAAGCACAAGGTTCATGGAAGAAACCCTGTTTTTAACCCGATTATCTGCAAATCATGTCCTTCACAGCGTATCAGGATCTTTGCATCCTCTGCAGCTCAATAACCAATGAAGATTCATCACGGGGGCCAAACAGGGGATCTGGGGACAGTCACACGTATAAAAAAAATATATACTCTTCGTGTTTATGTCATCTGATATGTGAGTGAAATCAGGATTTGATTGGTCCACGTACCACCGCAGACTCTGTTTCATCATACAGCAAGAGAAAGAGAGAGGGAGAGACTGTTCTGGGGTGGCGGCCATGTTGGAAAGAAAACACAATAACATTAACAGATGCTTCAAACACAGGTAGGCTATTGTTAACCTCCTATACTGTCAGAGTGAACACACACAGAAAATATGGTGTTCACGTCTTGGTTAAGTAGAATCAGATTCTATTTTCCTGGTTGGAAAAAATGTGAATATTAATCATTTATTTCCATTTGATGGAAACGCAGTATATCATTTAGTTACTGACTCATTTTATCATTTAAGAACAGTTTTATTAATTTGGATAAATATCCTAAAACATGGAGAGAAAACTGAAAATGTGGTCAGGCAGCTCAGATTGGGTTTTCTTTTTAATTTCTCTCAACAGGCTGGATCTGCAGTATATTAATAATTTAATGCCCTTTTGAATTGAGTATAAATTAAAACAGAAATATATACAGAAACTTTCTTTTAAGTACAATAAAGGTCACTATAAACCCACTATTTAGATTCACAGACAGTATATACAGTTTTATCCTCTGGCCCTCACAGTGATCTAACGTCTCTTGTTCTGTGCTCCTGAATAAATTTAGCTTCTAATATAAACACATATTATGGATGTAGTTTCATCTTTCGGGCAATAACTCGACTCGTGAGCTGTTCTCATGCTTTGGGGTCACGGCAGGTTGCTCCTCGGTCAGCCTGTCCGCTTGGAGAGTCAGAACTTTAATGTGCCTTAGGAAAGCAAGGTGATGCAGGAGAAAGAACACCAGCTGTATGGTGTTTTATTTCTCTTTTTTTATTTTCTTCTTATGGGTGTCGGGAGGGATTTGGCCAAATTTGAACCCTTAAACTGCAGACAGACTGGCTGCAGCCCTCCCTCACATCCCGCTTTACTTCGGTTGATAAGTACTGCTTATTTTACATTAACAACACCCTTAATTTCATATTTCCCCCCTCTGTTATTCCTCAGTGATTTGCAGTGATAAAAAACAGTGCAAAGGAAAAACAGTTGTCCTCTATTTGGAGAAAATATTTACTGCAGGGGAGACCATTGATTTAATTTTGAATGTTGTTTTATTCTAGAGAGATATAGACTTCTGTATGCTATTAATTGAGGTAATTTTGATAATTGCTCAGTGGTAGGATTCATTCATAAAATTAAAAATAGAAAAAAAAATCACCAGTCCATGTTACATCTAGTTAAAGCGCAGAGGTAATATGAACACTCATACCAGCAGCAGCAGTTGCACATGTGCAATATTTGGTTGGATGAAAACTAAAGATCTGTGCCGCCAGCTGGACATTTAAAGTCACTTGCTTCTTTTATTTTGGACTTGTATGAGAAGAGCTCGGTTATGTATTGTGGATGTTTAAAAAAAATGCACGTTTAAGCCTAAAACCAAATGATTTGCTGTATGAAAGCAAACTAGCAGCCTCCTCCTCCTCCTCCTCCAGAACAGCGTCCTATAGCCAAGCTTGTCCTCCGGGATCATCTCTCTGATCTACAGTATTTTTAAGCTTCTGTTCCGGTTGTGTATTTTCTTTTTTCTTTTTTTATCCTCATTTAGTTGCAGAATAAATCTCGGCTGAGTCTCTTATAGCGGGATCTTTGAGACGGAGCTCTTTATTCAGACGGTCTTCTTAACAGGATAGTTGGGGAATGAAACCTTTACGTCTGTTCTGTATTTATTGTAATATTCACCTGAACACTATCTGAAATATAGATTAATTTGATGTTTAAATGCAATGGCATTTATAGCATACTGTATGTTTATAAATAAAATGTTATAAATTAAAACTGTGGTTGTGTTTGTTATTTCTGCAATAAGAAGAAAAAAGATAATGCACGAGCTGATAGATTAAAAGCAGCGGAAGAAATGTGGTGAATAAATACTTAAAATATTTGATAGTGCAGATGAAATCGCGTCACTTTGTGCTTCAAATAGTGGTTTTTTTTTTTTATTTATTTATTTAGCCAGTAAGTCTCATTGAGGGAGACCTACAAAATCAGACGTCAGATAAAACGATATTATTAGCAGATAATAAGCTTAAAAACAGAGCAATTAAGAAGTTTAAGCTTCTATTAAATTCTGCACGTGATGTCAGATTTATCATTTTGGGTTAGGATTTATTTTAAGTCACAGGCAGATCCTGATACTGCTCTGTGCGAAGCAAGTGTTGCACCGAATTCTGTCACCTGAATATTTATTTCAGTTATGCGTAGCCATGTTGCCCAAACAGATGTATCCATTATACAAGTTCAAGCTGTTCTTCCGATTTTTTTACCACATAAATCTTTATCTAAAATGTATAGCATAAAATAAAAGCATAAAATGTGATGGGTGTAACCAAAAATTGTGACCCCAGAGGAACAGATTGTGTCACAAATGTAATGACAGTCGGTTTTACTGCAGGTCTGTCTTTGGAGCAGTTAAACCTCACCTGTCAATGTGTGGTCGTTATTTGTTGAACCTTTTTTTCCCTGTAGTTGACCTGTTTCCAAATTTAGAAATGAAATCAGTTTAATGTCGAGCTTTAGAATAGGCTGTCATCTCTTTAGAATTAATAATAATAATAATAATAATAATAATAATAATAGTTTTGGGTACCTGCGTAATTTCGTGCCAGAGTGCGCTTTGTTTCGGTTATAGACTAATGGTTTCCATCTTCTCTCCTGTTATAAATCTTTTGTTTCTACATATAGACTATAGAAAGAAAGTGAAACGGAAGTGGGTAAACTCTTCTATATATATTCCTGGGGCTTTTTGGCTGATAGGTGGGAACCACCAGAAAAAGAGAGGTTGATATACCTCCTTTATCTGTGCACACTCTCCATTATACCACTGGTTACACCATTATGGCCTGCGATGTACAGTTACTATGTAGTAATCATTTCTGATTTACAGTACAGTATTTTTAATGGTGAACTAGTAGAGCATGCAACGTTACATAAATGTAGGTATAAGGGAAGTGAGGTTAGGAAATAAGGGGGTCACAATTGGAGAATTTAAACAATTTATGCTGTAAGAATATTTTAACTGATGGATATATCCTCAGATACCGTCTTTTTTATTCCTCACATTCTCCTTTCTTGTAAAAAAAAAAACAAACAAACTGGCGCCTACATTACCCACAATGCAAGAGAGAAAGCTCACATTTGATTCTTGAAATGTGCATTGAAAATTGGTGAAATTATGTCAATTTAAAGGCAAATAGTTTCACCTTTTTTAGGACAAATGATTCCTGAGGCGGTGCGGAGCTGTCCGTGGTGCTGAAATCTGCGGCCTGTTCAAACGAGTGTGACCCAAAAATGACTGAGCAATCATTAAGAATTTTCTTTTGAGATCGTATAATTAAAGAATATGCAAACCTCTAATATAATAGCTAATAACTTTGTTCGGTTTTCTTATCTAACTGAAGAAAACATGACAAAAAAACAACTTGGACTATTATTTTTTTATCATCAACAACCATTTCAATGGTACACCTGGAAAACTATGTGCACATGTAGAAATATTTCCTTCTTAAATATAAGCATTCATTACCTACATATAAATAACTTTCAGATCCTGGACAAAACATGTCACATAATGCTCACAAAATGGAAGAGAAATCATTGTAAAATCAGACAAAGAGACAACATGCAAATTATATAGAAATAAATACAATGTTTGCATCCATTCCCCTTTTTTTACCCAAAATAAATTCTTCCGAGGGAATTTTGTAAAACATCAAAAAGACTTGTATGATCGATCTACGAGGGAGTATGGCCTATGGTTCAACTATAGGAGACAATAATACGTATTAACACTATACAGTTTGAGCCACAAAAACACTGCCGTAGAAAGACACACAAAACACACAGATTTCCTGTCAGAGGTGAACATTGCAGTAGTTTGTGCCTTTTTTTCTCGAGGAAATAATTGTGTTTATATCGATAATTTAAAGAAACTAAACTCTCAGCAGCCCTGGAAACAAAAAACAAACAGCTGTTAAAGAGGCTACTTCCCAAACAGCAGGTTGTGTTTATAGAGAGAGAGACAGGAAAGCAAAATGCGTCAGCGTCTCGGTGGATATTTGTTGTGTCAGAGAGCATCCTCAGTCATGGATATGAATCATCTCTCTACCAAACAAAGCAGCTGTTGAACTCTGACATTTAATGTGACTTCACGAGGCTCCTTTGCGCGCTGGTGGCACCGCGCGTTTCCGGTGCGCACACGTCTGTTTGCTCACAAATTGGCCACAAAAAATGTTCATCTTAACAAGTCACTTGATCCAGTGTTCAGTCCTAAATCTGTTTGTTTCCTAAAACAAGAGGGACATTTTGCTTTGGGATGAGATGTGTTGTCTTGTTCTGAATTTACGCATGTTTTTTTTCAGGGTTTCAGTCTTTAGACGTGACCGGAAACAAGTGGAAACGTTTCACCCGAGTTGCACTTGTTTTAAGAAAACAAAAACGATGTTATTATCAGACAACATGACTTGTCAAGATGGATATTTTTACAGCAAAGGTGTCAACTGACCACAAGAAACGACGCAAGGCATAGAAATAAAATAACAGGGTTGTCGTCTTCTTTTTAACTGCTTGTTATTGTCCTTTAGTCTGTCTTGGGCAATTGCTTTTCAGTCTCCGGGGGAAGAGGAAACTCATCTCTTTCCCTCTTTGCTCTGTTTTCTCCCCCCCGCTGTGAAGCTTCATTAGAACATGCTGGTCTTTACTAATGTAGCTTTGGCTCCGTTCTGTCTTTGCAAAGACGACAGTACGCTGGCGAACGGCCCGCCCAATGAGTCCGGGATAGAGGTGATGGTCCCCGGGGCGGTGGCCCAGCCTTGGCTCGGTGCTGTCACCCCCATGCCGGTGGACACGGAGGTCTTCACTTGGTCCACCTGTCCGTTCCCGGTGGTGTTGACCTGGCCTCCGGTGGGGCTCGGTCCGCTGCAGTTGGAGGTGGGCACGGGGTTCGGGCCCGGTCCTCCTGTGCTGTCGGGGTCGGTAGATTTAGTGTCTTTGCTGTCTTCGTCTCTGGAGTCGGACTTTTTTCCAGAGTTGGACTTGGCAGCCGCTGCGGCCGCTGCAGCTGCCCGCTCCTGCTTGCGAAACTTGGCGCGCCTGTTTTGGAACCACACCTGGAAAAATGAGAGAGGGTGCAAAAGTTAAATCAACATGAATGGCTGGTGTGTGCCAAAAAAAATCAATCACTGTTTATCGATAAATATTTATTGTTATTCGCTCCTAATTTTAAAAAGCCATGACGAATTAAGTCTCTTTGGCACAGCTGAGGTGAATTAACTCAAATCAGTGAGCTTATAAATGATGTTTAAATGTCTTAAAGTGTCCCTAAAGACAAACACCATCTTTATTTTGCGCATTGATGCACGAGTGTGTGTGTGTGTTAGATCGTGCCAGCTTTTGGAGGCCAGTAGTTGATCTGTCAAAGCTTTTATTTCACTAAAATCTATTAAAATTATAAGTGATTAAATTCAGTGTGTTAAAATGTTGTTTATTTGCATTATAAATCCACCCGTGCGTAATTGTGCGTAATCGTGCGTAATGGGAGCAGGCTGGCGTCTGTTGGAGAGAGCCGGTGTCTGTGTACCTGCACTCTGGCTTCAGTCAGATCGATTTTGAGTGCCAGCTCCTCTCTGGTGTAGATGTCCGGGTAGTGAGTCTCAGCAAAAACCCGCTCCAGCTCCTTCAGCTGGGCGCTGGTGAACGTGGTCCGGATGCGCCTCTGCTTCCTCTTCTCGTTCAGTCCACCGTGATCCGTGAACAGTTTGTAGGGAACTGTAAACGAAATAAAAATGTCACCGTTAGTGATCTTATCTGTGCGTGAGTGTGTGTAACAGTGATGTTGTCAAAGGGAAGTAAATTCGATATTTTGTATAAAATCCGGTTATGGATGCTGGGCTAAACCTTCCAATTGTATTACGCCTTTGATTACCTGTGAATTAGTTCTGAATTGATAACGCTGCTGACCTGTGATGCGGTTAATTGTGATGTTAAACTAATTGTTGCTCCTCAGATTGAGGCTCAAGTTTGAAAACTTGTCATAATGTTCCCATCCGCCCCGCTTGTTGCTACTGTAACTCCAATTCGGTGTCAATAATGAGCTTTAGTCTTTGGTTATCTAATTATTTTCGAAGCTTTATGTCTCATCGCAAAGTAAATAAATTATGCCTATCATTTTGGCAGCTTAAGATAATTCTGTTGGCGGTTTTGGGTGTGACTGGGATAGTATAACCCCGTAACCGAATTACCGCTTGCCTGCAATCGCTTCTAACGTGATAAATTCTTTCATTTGTGTAAGCAAATTTCGTTTGGTAAATACTAAACACATTTCCATTTTCAAATGCAATCAAGGCGTCCTATAATACGCCGGGTTGAGGCTCCGGAGTCGCTGCTTACCTGCGGCGTACGGGCTGCTCTGGTGGTCCCGCAGGGTCCCCAGGCTGCAGGACCCCGGCGTGAGGGACGGACAGCCGGAGGTGGCCCCGAAAGTGGTCCTGATGGGATTGTACTGAAACCCACTGGCTTGACTGCACGAGCTGAAGTCCGCATAGGCCGATGCCAAGCTCGTCGTGTCCATCCCGGCCATACATGACTCGTAGGCAGAGGAATTTAGGTAAGAATACTCCATTTTATACATTTGAGAAGGCTCGGTGGAGTTAGAAAGCTGCACTTCCCGGGAAAAAAAAAACGTCAAACAAAAACTACCCAAAAAAAAATGGGTTAGAAAGTAAAAAAAATAAAATAAAAATGAGGAGGACGCGCGGTCTGAGTTGGGGGGGAAAGATGAC